ACAGAGTGAAACGCTTGCGTTTGTCCAAAGATGAGGGTACCTGTAGAATGAAATGGTTTATCAGCATTTTCCCTCTTAAGATTGTCCCATTCAGATTGCTATTGTGGGGTATGGCTATTAAGCATAACCCATTCTCAGACACTTGTTTTACCTCCTTGATTTGGGTGTGTCAAAATTTAGTGTACCCCTAAATCCATTGTATTTTGTCGTCATGTTCACTCTCAAAATAGCTTTTGAAGGGTATACTCACCATTTTTCATCATGTTTCGCCCAAAACAGACTCAGACCCTGAGACCGCGAGACCTAAATAACCACCCGGCTCCCCCCTGGTGCCACCGTAATAGTGGTGGCTGCGGGCACATCCACCATGGGCATCTTGGGCAGATGCGAGGGAGGCGCAGTCGTCTGCGGCTGCGGTTGGGCGAACTTCGCCAAGGTCAGCAAAGTCGGCACTAAGAAAGTGAAGGCCTCAGAGAAGGGGGGTGGAGAAAAGATACATGTCATGTGTACATAGAGATATTTAGAGATATAAATATATGTAATCTATAGATATATACATACTACATATTGTATATGCAGATGTCAATATATACAAGTGTGTATATTATTATGATGCATATATATATATATATAATTTCTTTGTGTGTGTGTCATGTAGTTCAACCAATTATCGGGTCTTTTGATGAGGAAGAATTTCCAGAGGGTGGCAATGGCAGACATGTCAATGATTTGTGCATTCAAGCTAGCTGCAATTGTATTGTTATAGTCAAATGACAAACTCATGCCTAAGTAACTTACTTGTGGATCTGCATAGACATGAAGAAGAAGGAAAAAAACACAGCTCCGGAAGGTAAACAACATTCACATCTTATGGAAGAGGTTGCCCTCAAATCTAAACACAACCCAATCGCAATGTTTTTGAACGAAACTAATTGCAAAGACCAAATCCAGGAAACCATTGCAATTCCTCTGCGTTTTATCAAAAAGGCACGACTTTTGAAATCAAGCGCTTCCCAGCTATTTACGATGATTTCCCAAATTGAGGCACGACTTTAGCAGTTGACTGTACTTGGGGTATCCACAACTTTCAGACAGCCCCAAATATGATAGTTTGTTTTCCAAGTTATCGATCTCATCATATGCATCATCGCTCCCACATGAGGAAACATGTCCAATGTTCCCCATCTTTACGTATTAACAGGTGTTTTGTTCATTGCATAGGTTATATACAGTATATACATATTATGTTAGCAGGATTCGCAAATGTCCAGAACATCACCCAACTATTTGGGATATCTCCAAATTTGAAAGTAATGCTGCAAATCCCCAAGTTTTACAATCCCATCCCCCTAATATGAAACGCCCCCATTCTATGGGTCCAAATAAGTGCAAATCCCCTACTGAAACATTGTTTCTGGGGTTGAATTATGATACATGAGATTTGTAGTTATGAAAACTCATGTCAGTTTATTGGTTTGACAATTTCGCAATGTATATGTATGGTTAATTACTATTCATGGATGTAGAACTTATATAACTGAGATGACGTCGGTTTATAATCCCGTCTAATTAGAGGATACTATAGATATATCCAATTGTATAATCTATTAAAAGCTGACAGGATACTACATTAGATACTATCGATATTATAGACTTGAAGATATATCATCATCATCATCAGCAGCAGCAGCATCATAATAATAATCGTCGTCGTCATCATCATCATCTTCTTCTTCTTCGTCGTCGTCGTCGCCGTCGTCCTCGTCCTCGTCCTCGTCCTCGTCATCATCGTCATCTTCTTCATCATCATCATCAGCATCACAATCATGGTCATCATCATCATCGTCGTCGTCGTCGTCGTCGTCGTCCTCCCCGTCGTCGTTGTCCTCGTCCTCGTCCTCGTCATCGTCATTGTCATCTTCTTCATCATCATCATCATCAGCATCAATATTCATCATCATCGTCGTCATCATCATCATCAGCATCAATATTCATCATCATCGTCGTCATCATCATCATCAACATCATCTTCGTCGTCGTCGTCGTCGCCGTCGTCCTCGTCCTCGTCCTCGTCATCATCATCATCATCATCATCAGCATCATGATCATGCTCATCATCATCAACATCATCATCATCATCATTGTCGTCGTCGTCGTCGTGGTCCCCGTCGTCGTTGTCCTCGTCCTCGTCCTCATCATCATCGTCATCTTCATCATCATCATCATCGTCATCGTCATCATCATCATCATCATGGTCATCATCATCATCATGGTCATCATCATCATCGTCGTCGTCGTCGTTGTCGTCGCCGTCGTCGTCGTCCTCCCCGTCGTCGTTGTCCTCTTCTTCATCATCATCTTCAGCATCTTAATCATCGTCATCATCATCATCGTCGTCGTCCTGGTTGCCGTTGTCCTCGTCCTCGTCCTCGTCTTCGTCATCGTCATCTTCTTCTTCTTCTTCTTTCTTCTTCTTCTTCTTCTTTTTCTTCTTCTTCTTCTTTTTCTTCTTCTTCTTCTTCTTCTTCTTCTTCTTCGTCTTCGTCTTCCTTCTTCCTTCTTCTTCATCATCATCATCATCATCGGGACACTATAAATTATTTATGAATATGCCTGATAAATGTAACTCATGTAACTGGATCTTAGAATCATGATCATTATACGGATACTATAGATTCTTTATGATATATGTAATTTACCCTCTGGTAAACAAACATAGCTATTGAAAATGGCCATATATAGTTGATTTACCCATTAAAAATTGTGATTTTCCATAGTTTTTTGTATGTTTACCAGAGGGTAAATCACCGGATATGATATCTCCATCTTTTCCACCGGCCGAGAAACCGCGGCGGCGGACAAAATCCCCAGCGCCGGGCCCAGGTTCCGCGCAGCGTTCGCCAGGTCGCTGCGGAAGCCTGACGCCGGTTACGCCGCTTGCGCTCGGAGCCCAGGGGACAGCCCGAGACAGCTCGGAGGTTTCATGCGGATTCAATGGAAATTACCATATGGTTATCTAACATAGCCATGGTATAGATGGCCCATAGAAATAGATGGTTTACCGAACTTAAAAATGGTGATTTTCCATAGCTATGTTAGTTTACCAGAGGGTAAATGGTTATTTACCCTCACCTTTTAATGGTTTAATTACAATGGAAAATATCATCATTAATATGCTTTAATTACAATGGAAAAGCCGAATTTTTGGAGGGTTCATGATAATGATAATGATATAATGTTGATAGTTGATGATTCCTGGAGGTTTCCGTTTTGCCATGGGGGTATCCCTCTGGTAGACTAACAAACATAGCTATTGAAAATGGCCATCGAAACAGTTGATTTACCCATGAAAAATGGTGATGTTCCATAGTTATGTCATGTTAGTTTACCAGAGGGTAGCCCCAAATCATCCAGTCGTCATGAAGGACCACGAATTGTATTGAAACCTATGGTGAAGACTCGGGATCCCCCATTTTTTGGAAACTCCCATTGAAGTGCTGAGGGTAAAACTCTATACGGAACCATTGATTTTTCCCCATAGACCTGGGATACCAAACCACTTGGCCACTTGGCGCAGGTCATGGCGAAACAACCACTGGCACTTGATCAAATCAATCAGTAAGCATAGATACCCTGCAAACACACCCCTGAGTCTTAGCTGGTGAATATTCATATTCCATGAAAAGAGCCAAAAAAATCAGCCAATTGTTCTACCATTCTCAGGTGAATCCAGGAAAAAATGCTTCCCAAATCCCAGGGTCCCAGTTTCCGGGTGGTCCCAAAGTTGATTCATCTCATATCAGGTATCCAAACATCCAACCATCCAACGGTGGATCATCAGTTTCCGTCAAGATCATAAAATTGCACTAGAAATGGTTAGGTAATCCATGACATGGTTAGTATGGTTAGTTACCATGATTAGTCATGGTTAGTTATAAATGACCCCCAGTCATGGTTACCACGACCGACCATGACCCCGAAAAAGCCCAGCCTTGCCGCGGAGGCCCCACAGGGTCTCCCACAGGTTGGTACACGGGTGCAGCCATAGCGATCTTTATCGCTGGAAATGTTCCCCAGCCGCAGCGGTTTTCCGGTTTTCACCGAGGATTTTCCGGTTTCCTGCTGTGGTTTCCCATAGATGGTCCCTGCAAATCCGATGGCTTGCCGATGATGATGGCAGGGAGTTTCTGTGAGGATTAAAAAAGGCGTGGTATGGTTGATTGCCCGCCACATCCCGCTACCCTGAGCTCGTGCAAATCCCAACAATCTTTTGATCAAGTGAAAACTTCTTGAGACGCAAACTCGACATTTACTGGAGGTACCACTAAAACATCCTAAGACATCCACTGCATTTGTGTCTTCGATCAATTCTGGAAACCATCAAGACACCCGTAGCCTACGTAGCACTTCCATCCGTCATCTTGGAAAATACAGTGAGCCAAAGCAGCTTTGTTTTGTCATGCACACGTACGCACTATCGTATCACCTAGTCTGGATCACTCTGGTAGAGATGTTCATTAGCTTGGTGCCCTCAAAAGTGATCAATCACTGTTGGAAAGCATACTCCCCTCGAAAAACATGGCTTGCTGGAAAATCCACCTTTTAGTTCGATGATTTTCCCAGCTATAAGCTTCCATTCAAACGGGGGTTTCCCATTGCCATGTTTGATTAACGGAGGGTACTTGGCCCCAATTCTGGAAGGATGTCTCCATTACGAGTCGCCTACGAAAACAGGCGGTGCCTAAAGCCCTGAATCTGTGCTGCTCGCAGCGTGCTTTTTTCAAAAGTTCGATGCATCGTTGGGTGAAACACTGTAGCCTTACACTGTGAAGTGGTCCAAACATTTCCTGGGCCACTGGGAAGAAAGTTGCCATCCGGTCTTAAACTTCTCCTAAACACTTTCTGAACTCTGCCAGCTGGGGATGGGTCAAAACCTTGTACCCCTAGTGAACCCCAAAATAGCTGGTAAATGGATGTTCATCCCATTAGAATTGATAATAATAGGTTTTGACCCACCCCCAGCTTTCCACTAAAAAATGTATCTATAGGTATTGACCCATACCCAGCTCAGCTGTGGTCCAAAGATTTCCTGGGCCACGAAAGTCGCCATCTCAGCGTTCCATCCAGGGTGGGTGCGAGGGTGGCCGCGGCCCGCTGCGCCCGCGTGACCACTTGGAATACCTGGGCCAAGAAATGACCACCGATCAATAACGTAAATATAATAATAATACTGGTTATAGTAATCTAATGTTTTTATAATAATAGTACTGGTTGTATTAAATGTTATAGATCCGATTATAGTGATGGATGAATAGTACATGATCTGGTGATCTATAATAATCTACTGGATGATACTAATTGTCCTGTCATATGAGTAAATGAATCTAATCTGTCCGAATGGTAAGAATCCACTTAGCCGAAAATAGCTGTTATCATACGGCCACTTAGGGATGATTTCCCCATATATATAAACCATTATAAACCATCATTCCAGTGACGTCACAGTGAGGTCATTGTAATTCATGCAGATGATGTAGTTCACCGGAGAATCAACTATAAATGGAGAGCGACGTACATCTGGATAACTTGGAATAAGTCACCCACCTGAAATTAGGCCTCACCAAAAAACACCACTTCCCATGCCACCACAATTTTGGCCTGAAGTAAGGCCATTTAGGGATAGTTACCCCAATCCTAACCTTCATTCCAGTAACGTCGCAGTGGGTGACAATAATCTATCCAGCTTTGTGATGGTGATCAGTAAACATGAGGAATGACACCAGTTAGTTGTCTGACAGTGGGTATAGAATCGTGAATGTATTCATGGATTATTGATGATTATTGTAATTAAATGGATTCACAACTACAACGAGCGGTCCAAAAAGTGATGAATGAAGACGAGTGGCGATAAAAATGGACCCCAGTGAACATCATTTGTCAACAAAATTTCACCAAATCCAAATCCAAATGCCAGTGGCAAAGACCTCTGATGCCCGTGGCGGTTCTCTTTAAGGTGGGTTTTCTATTGTTTTCCATAAAGTATTAGATGAACATAAAACCACCTGCATCAACTAGCCAAAGATCAGCACCATTTTTTTGTTTTTTATGAATGAGACTTATTACCCTCTGGTACTTTAACATGGCGAACTGGAAAATCACCATGTAAAAATGGCTGATTCATCTATGAATGGGGTCATTTTCCTGAATTCCCAAAGGCTAAGCCCTTCTTGTTGGGGGTACCTCTGGGCACACTGGTGCCATAGCCAGGCAACACTGGGCTGTCTCCCCAGCTTGATCCTCGGGCGTTGGATTTTCAACGGGCTGAGTAGTTGCAAAGTTACAACATGTGCATCTCTCTCAAAATGGGGCAATGTGGGTAAATTGATGGTTAATGATGGTAAATGATGGTAAATGATGGTAAATGATGGTAAATGATGGTAAATGATGGTAAATGATGGTAATAATTCGTGGTTAATGATTAATCTGGGTAAAACAATGCCATAAACCACCCATTTTCCTGGGAATGGTAAACATAGCACCAAGCAAAAAATGGTGATGTTCCTGGGGGATGGTTTTTACATGACAGCCAGTTTTTACCACATGAATTACCGGCATACCCATCATATGGTCATATGTTATGGGTGGTGTCTTGACCGGCGCACAATCGTGGTGATTGATCAAACAAAAATAGCAAAAAAAAACCCTCGACGATCCAAAAAATGGTCATTCAACATCATTCAACCATGAAACACGAGGGTTTTTCACATACAACCAAGAGATTTCAAAATGATAACCGGTTTTTTTTATGGGTAGCTTCGCTAGTTACTAGGCTAACAAAAGGGATGTGTAAAAAGATGGTGGATATCTCGAACGAGTAATGATATCGAAATGTCGATGTGAAAAAACCACCGCAAGTTTCTAGGATTTACACGGATCCAAAGCTTTAATGCTTGTTTATATGTTAGGTCTAGGTAGATACCTAGAAGTAAGATTTCCCAAACATGGATCAAGTGAAGTGAGCGCTCCAAACCAGTTAAACCAGTTCCAGGTCAGACATTGACGTTGAGGAACTTACAATCACCAGCCGTATCAGGCCCCGAAATCCCTATGTTGGTCAAGTCTGCAACCGCGCAAACGGTCATCTGCCAAAATCAGACTTGGGATGTCCCAGCCATGTATCATCATGTATCTGATTATGGGCATATAATATATTTAAAATATGTCATGGGATATATTTTTTTTTAATATATTTCATATTATGGATATATAATTATATATATATATATATTCTGGAGATTTTTCATATGGGATATACATAGAATATATATATACACAACGGGATGGCGAGTTGTGATGCAACGAAAGAGTGTGGCGATACGAGTTCTGGCTCGCTGAGATGATAACCTAATTAGTAGGGGGCCATGAGGATTTATGGAAAGCTCCTGGCATCAATGATATATCTATGTATAATCTAACGAATGGCCAAAAAAAATGTGATATTTGAATTGCCTTTAGTAAGTCTAATTGAATAAAAACACACCTCTTCTTTTCGATCTGAGCTTGAATAACTGTGAGTCTTTTATGTCGGCGTCCATTAACTCCAAATCTTGGAGGCCGAGATGGTTGAAGTCGCGACGAGATGGTAACCCAAGTCCCAATCAAGGCCTTCAAAATCCCCGGTTCGAGGGTTATACGGTGAAAACCTCTAGCTGTATGTGGTGTCTCAAACTCCCACGTGTCCTTTCTCTGTCAATGGCCATGAATTAAGGTCTCCCCATTTTAAGACACACCCGCTTGATGTTTCAACCAAGACTCCCTTCCCAGTAATAAATCCCCTGAGATGGATCTAAAAATGAGAAAATTCCCATGTTTATATGGTTTTTTCACCCCCTCAAGGGTGACCCAACAACAATAGTTGCTCTCTTTGTTAATGGCTCATCAACCATCAACAACCGACTCTTAACCATCCAATTATCACTGTTGTTATTCACATCATTCTTGTCACATTTTTTCATCTGCTGAAAAAACTATATCATCACTATTTGTCTTTTTATTGCTAGCTGTATTCTTATCAGTATTTTCAATGGTTATGATTAAAATGTTCAATGTTTTTTCAATTATTGCTAGTATATTGGTACCATCATTGCTGTTCTGACTACAATTTTGAATGGTAAAATTCTGGCTCGAAAATCCCACCAGCCTCAACGAAAAACCAAGACACCTCGGTCCCTGCGGCCATAGCCGCTATAGCCATAGTCGTGCCTGCGGCCATGGTACTGCCTCTGGGCCGTATCCTGGGCGGCACCGGCCAAAGCTACCTGGGTTTCTCCAAAATATTGGATGATTTGGCAGTGGGTCAAAACCTTGTACCCCTGGTGAACATCAAAATAGCTGGTAAATGGATGTTCATCCCACTAAAAATGGTATTAATAGGTATTGATTCATAGCCATTTGGATCTATGAATTGAAAATGGTGCAAAAATCTGGGCGGGGTTTACCATCAAAAAAAGTGAATTCACCGCCGAAAACAAGGAAACATCAAAGAAGAAATAGTGGTTGAACTGTTTAACGTTCAAGAATAAGGATGTTGGCCAGCCAAAATCAGGGGGCCATCAAAAAAGCAATGTGACCGACAAGATTCTCGGGGGTCTTGCCGATCAAAATTGGGGACAATCTCTTGACATCCCTTTTTCTTCAGATTTCCTTCTGATGTCGCCTCATCTCTGATTACATTTCACCTGATCTCACGTCTTCTCATCTCTTCTCTCCTTTTCTCTCCTCTTCTCAAATCTTCTCAGCTCTTCTCACGTCTTCTCATCTCAGCACATCTCAGCTCTTCTTCGCTCTTCTGGGTTTGTCTCAGCTAGCAAGTTTTGCATTGCACAACATACGATTTGGCGCATCCGCTTTCTCTCAAAAATGCACCTCGTGCGAGACTTCCTTCAAAAACTGCAAGTTGCAGCTGTGAAAACGAAGCTCTCGGGCGAGACTTGCTTCACCACCTCCTCCAAGCTTTCTAAATGTCAGTATCACGGTAGTTGCTCTACCAAACTTCCTTTGAATAGCGAGCTATTCTGTGGTGGTCACCAAGCTGGTGAAGAACCCATATCAGCCTCCATTTTGGCAGTTTTTCAATACAAGGACCTGCCACGACCAAAATCACTCTGACCACCTGTATTTCCACATGGTGGTTTCCTGAAAATTCTTAGTTTGGTTTGTTATTTGTCTTAATAGAATGATTACCATTGTTATTATGCCCATTTATGATGGTTCAACCCATTTAAGTCCAATTTGTTGATGATTTTATGCTCCCTCCAAAGACTTACCCTCCAGTAATTTCCACATAGTCATAGGAAATTGCACATTTAGTTGGATGCACATAATATATATATATAGTGTGTGCAAACCCCAATGCAAAAAACACCATCCCCAATAGAGGTCTATGAAATTGGAAAAAACCTCTATGACTGGGATGATATAAAATGACCCGATTTTTTTTCGGGTTAATGGGGTGGTGTTGTTGTTGGGTGTAGCACATTCTCCCATTGAAAACATATCTCACTGATTTTCGCATCCGATGGTCTGCGACAAATCCCTGTCTGCTTGGTGGTTGAGCTGAACCCCTCTGAAAAATGATGGAGTTCGTCAAATGGGATTCTTGTTCCCAACTGAATGGAAAAATAAAATTCATGTTCCAAATCACCAACCAGCTATGATTATATCAATATAAATATAAAATGCAACAAATGACCAAATGATTATTAATCATGAATATAAAAGTGGGAATATGCATCTGGATACACGTAAATTTCACGGATAAACGCTCCCATGTTTATTTGACCAGTGTTCAAAACCTTGTGTCGTCCTTTACACCGGTTGGTTGAGAACGAGATTCCCAGTTCATGGAGTGTGATATTCCCTAATTGGTGAATGTATCATCCCCCACCTACTCAACCAACGATCCATTCTGTGAAAAATCCACGAAGAAAATCCTCATATTTTGACGGTCGAAATCTCATTGAATCCCCGAAGAAATCCGCAACTAAATATCATTTATCAACCCATTGATATCCCCAGAATTTTCATGTTTAACACCCATTCCTGGAGGGTAAACCCTGAAAAATGGGGGTACCCCAAATCATCCATTTTATTGTCGGAGTTTCCATGAACAAAAACATCTATTTTCGGGTACCCTCTGGTAAACGTTTACATAACTATGGAAAATCACCTTTTTTCATGGGTAAATCCACTATAAATTGCCATTTTCAATAGCTTTTTGTATGTTTACCAGAGGGTATATCTATTAAATCACCATTAAAACCCATGAAAACCCATGAAAACCCATTAAATCACCATTAAATCACCATTTTGTATGTTTACTAGAACCCCCCTCATCCCCCCCCGTGGCCTTGGTCGCCTTGGTCGCTTTGGTCCGCCAGGGATGGCCCTCGGAGGCTAGGCGCCGTTCCTCCTCCTCGAATTGCTGCCGATGTTGCCGCGCCCGCCTCCTTGGCAAAATCCCATGAAAAATATGGCATGTGGATAGATTAGGTTGGATGGGTCATCCCACCATCATGACCATCATTGATTCCCTTTTAAGGATGGCTAGATATATAAATATCGTAGCCTCCAGTAAATTAACACTTCGACCCTGGCAGGGTTGGAAGATTAGTTTCCATTAAAACTAGACTATGGATTCAGGGTCCAACTGTTAATTTACCAAAGGGTAGTTTGTGAGAGAAACCCTCTGGATTGATGGTGGGAAAATCCCTTTGAAATTTCATGGCGATATCCAGCTTCTTCAGGATTGATCATCACAAATGTGGTGTTTTCTGTTTGGATTGAATTTATCAACCATCTTATTATGTGTATATATATATATAATCAAAAATATATAATCAAAAATATATAATCATATATATATATAATCATATATATATGTATGTATATAATCATATATATATAATCATATATATATATATAATCATATATATATATAATCAAGAATATATAATCATATATATAATCGTGTATATATAATCATATATATATAATCATATATATATGTATATAATCATATATATATAATCATATATATATGTATATAATCAAATAAATAATCATATATATATAATCAAGAATATATAATCATATATATAATCGTGTATATATAATCATATAATCATATATATATATATATACATTTGTGGCTGTGTCTGTGTCTGAAAATGCTGATACCCCAATTTCTGGGCATTTTGGTGGTGAAACCATTGGATGGAGTGCTCCCAAAACCCCCAATGACCCATTTCCACTGTCAGCGGCTATCATTTGCCAATGGGTTGGAGCGACGCTGAGGTATCTGGTATCTGACGGGATGCTATTTTGGATGTAACTCCGTGAGAATATGGGATTTGATGTACCCTCTGGTAAACAATAAAATTTGCTATTGAAAATTGCCATTTATAGTTGATTTACCCATGAAAAATGGTGATTTTCCATAGGTAAGTTATGTTCGTTTACCAGAGGGTAATACAATGGGATGTGATGTATGGTGGGTCTAAACATCAAACATAATCTTTTGACCATGAAAAATGCTGATTTCACTATGATGTCTGGTCTGAAAATGGGGTACTAGCCCGCAATTCATGGCAGACATCAATAAAACAGGAAAGGTATGTTTAACTAGTTGAGTTCAGGGTGCTCCATTTTCAGGCAGACCAATTTTTGGAGTTGAACATGTTCTATATAGTGGGTTCTTACATACCCTTCATCCAAATGCAAGGGTGTTCTTTCCTTCTTTTTTTGGGGGGTTTCAAGTGATCACCATTCCAGCTAGGATGATTTAAAAAAACCATCTGCTGATATCAAATGATACTCAAATCAGCATGTACATATATATATACATATAAACTTTGTTGGGTGACAACATATATATATAGAGAGAGAGAGAGTTTGTTGGGTGACAATACATGTCAGTGATATGCAAACAGGATATCTACGGGGTTTGACCAGGTCGAAGACCAGCGCAAAAAAGCACCTTGATCAGGTCCCATTTTCAAACATACTGTTGAAAGAAATTGGTAACTATTGGGATTCCTATGAAACATTGCGAACAAGGATTTTAAGGGGATGCTTGTCATCTACCAACAGGTGCAGGATTTCGCAACCATCCACAGTACTAGGGGGGCGATGTTCTTTAAAATAAACAGATTTAAATCATCAAAAAAAATCGGGTACAGTATACCCAATTTCATCAAACGTTCTTAAATGGGGAGTAGGATGAGTCCCAAATACCCTGGGACCCGGATGGTTATACAAATTGCTGGGTGCTGGATGTGTGATTCCCACAGTTTCCGGTAATTTCATAGGTAACTTGACCCATCTCCAAATGGGGTTCAGTTTGACCCGAGACACAGTGCAGTTGAGGTGATTTTCATGGAAATACCAAAGCGATGTCACCCCCATCAGGATGGTAGGGGGCCTGGGCTCCTGTAACTTTTCTGAAATATCCACTTCTTTCACTGGCACTGGCCTTCTGGGGCCCTTTGCTCATGGTTGTTCAGCCATACCCACAGTCACACAGTCTGGCCTCACTTCTTTGAATAGCATCTACATCTTTAAAGCCACATATTTGCCATGGTCACAACACCAAACATATCCGCCGACCCCGGCCTTAGCCAAGGCAGGGGCGGCGCCTGGGACCACCGCAGGTGTGGAACTTGTCTTTCTTAGCCACATCAATGGCTTCTGATGGGCGTCCAAGCGTGCCATTTGCCACGCCTTAAACGCTGAAAAGGCTTCAAACCTTTACAACTTGTCTTTCTTAGCAACAGGCATCCCAAGGCCACATCAATGGCCTCTTATAGGCCCCAAGCCTGCCGTTGCTTGGCCTTCAACGCTTCAAAAGCTTCAAACCGTTACAACTTTGCAAAAGCTTCGCCGAACGCCCAACCGCGCAGGCAAAAGCTCCCAAGCCACATCAATGCGCAACGCCCAACCGTGCAGGCAAAAGCTACCCCAAGGCCAGATCCATCGCTTCTTCTGGGCGGTCCAGCCTGCCGTTCGCCAGGCTTTCGCAGCCAACAGGCACCCCAAGGCCACATATAGGCGTCCAAGCCTGCCGTTTGCCAGCCCCTAAACCCTTAAAACCCCTAAAACCTCGAAAACCCCTAAAACCCCTACAACCCCTAAAACCCTTAAAACCATTAAAACCCTTCAAACTCTGCAAAAGCGTCTCGGAATGCCCAACCGCGCAGGCAAAAGCTACCCCCAAGCCACATACACTTTTTCCATCGCAACGCCGTCCTTGTCCGCCAGGCTTTCGCAGCCAACAGGCACCCCAAGGCCACATCAATGGCTTCTTCTGGGCGTCCAAGCCTGCCGTTTGCCAGCCCCTAAACCCCTAAAACCCCTAAAACCCTTAAAACCCTTAAAACTCTGCAAAAGCATCTCGGAATGCCCAACCGCGCAGGCAAAAGCTACCCCCAAGCCACATACGCTTTTTCCGTCGCAACGCCGTCCTTGTTCGCCAGGCGTTCGCAGCCAACAGGCACCCCAAGGCCACATCAATGGCTTCTTATGGGCGTCCAAGCCTGCCGTTTGCCAGCCCCTAAACCCCTAAAACCCCTAAAACCTTTAAAACCCTTAAAACTCTGCAAAAGCGTCTCGGAACGCCCAACCGCGCAACCCCCAAGCCACAAACGCCCAACCGTGCAGGCAAAAGCTACCCCAAGGCCAGATCCATCGCTTCTTCTGGGCGGTCCAGCCTGCCGTTCGCCAGGCTTTCGCAGCCAACAGGCACCCCAAGGCCACATCAATGGCTTCTTCTGGGCGTCCAAGCCTGCCGTTTGCCAGCCCCTAAACCCCTAAAACCCCTAAAACCCTTAAAACCCTTAAAACTCTGCAAAAGCGTCTCGGAATGCCCAACCGCGCAGGCAAAAGCTACCCCCAAGCCACATACGCTTTTTCCGTCGCAACGCCGTCCTTGTTCGCCAGGCGTTCGCAGCCAACAGGCACCCCAAGGCCACATCAATGGCTTCTTATGGGCGTCCAAGCCTGCCGTTTGCCAGCCCCTAAACCCCTAAAACCCCTAAAACCCCTAAACCTTAAAACCCTTTACAACCCTTAAAACTTTGCAAAAGCTTCGCGGAACGCCCAACCGCGCAGGCAAAAGCTATCAAGCCACATCAATGCGCAACGCCCAACCGTGCAGGCAAAAGCTACCCCAAGGCCAGATCCATCGCTTCTTCTAGGCGGTCCAGCCTGCCGTTCGCCAGGCTTTCGCAGCCAACAGGCACCCCAAGGCCACATCAATGGCTTCTTATGGGCGTCCAAGCCTGCCGTTTGCCAGCCCCTAAACCCTTAAAACCCCTAAAACCTCGAAAACCCCTAAAACCCCTACAACCCCTAAAACCCTTAAAACCATTAAAACCCTTCAAACTCTGCAAAAGCGTCTCGGAATGCCCAACCGCGCAGGCAAAAGCTACCCCCAAGCCACATACACTTTTTCCATCGCAACGCCGTCCTTCTCCGCCAGGCTTTCGCAGCCAACAGGCACCCCAAGGCCACATCAATGGCTTCTTCTGGGCGTCCAAGCCTGCCGTTTGCCAGCCCCTAAACCCCTAAAACACCAAAACCCCTAAAACCCTAAAACCCTTAAAACTCTGCAAAAGCGTCTCGGAATGCCCAACCGCGCAGGCAAAAGCTACCCCCAAGCCACATACGCTTTTTCCGTCGCAACGCCGTCCTTGTTCGCCAGGCATTCGCAGCCAACAGGCACCCCAAGGCCACATCAATGGCTTCTTCTGGGCGTCCAAGCCTGCCGTTTGCCAGCCCCTAAACCCCTAAAACCCCTAAAACCCCTAAAACCCTTAAAACCCTTAAAACTCTGCAAAAGCGTCTCGAAACGCCCAACCGCGCAACCCCCAAGCCACATCAATGCGCAACGCCCAACCGCGCAGGCAAAAGCTACCCCAAGGCCAGATCCATCGCTTCTTCTGGGCGGTCCAGCCTGCCGTTCGCCAGGCATTCGCAGCCAACAGGCACCCCAAGGCCACATCAATGGCTTCTTATGGGCGTCCAAGCCTGCCGTTTGCCAGCCCCTAAACCCCTAAAACCCCTAAAACCCTTAAAACCCTTAAAACTCTGCAAAAGAGTCTCGGAATGCCCAACCGCGCAGGCAAAAGCTACCCCCAAGCCACATACGCTTTTTCCGTCACAACGCCGTCCTTGACAGAAAACTTGTTCCCACACCGTCCGATGGTCTATTTGCCCTGTCTTCACAGGCCCGCATGCGATCCAATTGCCAAAAGTTCACCGCCGAAAGACTGTAAATTCTTGGGCTTCAATATGTTCGTCAGGGACAGTCATGTGCTTACCATAGTGTATCACCGCATTAAATTTCCCTAAACATGCGTAAATACACAAATACTCTGTGCTGCATGTGATATATATATATGTATATATATAATACACATATATACAATATATATATACAATGTATATATATATGATATGATATGATATGATATGATATGATATGATATGATATGATATGATATGATATGAGAGAAATATATATATACATATATATATATATGTACCTGCAACATCCTGTTGTGCCATACTTTAGCCTCTTAGCATAGGAGCCAAAATCTCACCGGGACAGGCCTCCCCCCAAACAAGGGGGGTCGGCGGCACCAGGGCGTTAGCCCATTCTATATGGTATGGTCATCCAACACCCTATGGGGGATTTCTCATGAAACTGTGGCTATGAAGTGGGGGAATGACCCTCCACGAATATGCAAACTTCAGGATCCAAGGTATTTCAACATGGCATCATTTCATATGAGGTATTTGAATCATCATCTACATATATCATATGAGGTATTTTCGACTGAAAATTGAAGATTGTAAGGTTGTGCGCTCAAAATAATCAATAATGTTGGTAAAGCAATCATAAACCATCACCAAAATCACCAGTTTTATGGGTGCTATAAACCGTCAATTTATATGGGAAGATAAATAGATGTTTATATATATATATAGAATATGTTTTTTTTCAGCCACTTAAAAACGGGTCCGGAATTGTTTTGGGAATTATTTTTTCCGTTTCGGATTTTTTTCTTGGATCCGTTTTTTCTGCACGTTTTCCTTGCTAGTTGCAGCATTTTGGAGCTGGAAGCTGCCATTTCAACTGTCTTGGCAACATTTTGGAGTTGAAACCTCTCATTTTCCATAGAGTTCGCAAAATTTTGGTGAAATTTGTAACATTTTGGAGTTGGAAGCTGCTGTTTCAACGGTATTTGCAGCATTTTTGAGTTCGAACTGTTCATGTAACATGGTAGTTTGCAACTAGGGTTCATTTAGGGTGGTTTTAGGGTTAGTTTAGTGGTTTTGTTTGTTTAAGTTTTTTTGAGGGTTGGTTTTAGAGTTAGGCTTTATTTAGCTTCTTGGGTTAGTTTAGGAAGTTTAGGATCTTTTTTGGGTTTGTTTTAGGTTTTATTTAGGCTTGGTTTAAGACCTATGTATGGTTGGTTTAGAACCTATTTAGGGTTGGTTTAAGGTTTGTTGAGGGTTGGTTTAGGATCTATTTAGGCCTGGTTTAAATATATTTAGGGATCTTTTACGGTTTATTTAGGCTTGGGTTAGCATCTATTTGGGGCTGGTTTAGGGTGTGTTTAGGGTTTATCCAGGCTTGGTTTAGGATCTATCTGGAGTTGGTGTAGGACCTATTCAGGATTGGTTTAAGATGTGTTTAGCGTTGGTTTAGGACTTAAAATTCATTTAGGTATGGTTTAAGATCTATTTAGGGCTGGTGTAAGGTTTATTTAGGATTAGTTTCAAATTTATTTAGAGAGTATTTAGGGTTTATTTAGAGTTGCTTTAGTGTTTCTTTGGTTGGTTTGGGGTTTATTTATGGTTGATTTTGGGTTTATTTACATGATGTTTCTTAAGGGTTATCTGCAGTATGAGAAACAAAAAAGGAGGGAAAAGCAGAGAATGAGAAAAGCAGGTAAACAGAGAAGCTGGAAAAGCAGAAAAGCATGGAAAAGCAGAAAGCAGAGAAGCAGGAAAAGCAGAAAAGCAGGGAAAAGCAGGGAAAAGCAGAAAAGCGGAGAAGCAAGAGAAAGAAGCAGAGAGGCAGCACACTGGAGAAGCAGAGAAGCGAAGAAGCAAAGAAGCAGAAAAGTGGAGAAGCAGAGAAGCAAAGAACTATAAAAGCAAGAAAGCAGCGAAAAGCAGAAAAGCAAAAAGCAGAAAAGCAAAGAAGCAGGGAAACAGAGATCCCAAAAAAAAGCACAAAACGGAGAGAACATCATTTCCCAAAAAAAATAACCCTTAAAAACTGATCCCCACTACCGTTCCGACCGTTCCCACTGATGTTCCGCCAGGTGGCTCCACCAACTGAAAGTAGCTCTCCAAGACTTGGTGATGCGCCTGGTCCTCCCAGGGCTGGCGGCGGTCAGAGCGGTGCCTCTTGTTGCACCACTCGTCATCCGAAGAGACGGCGTCGAACTCCTCGTAATGTGCCTGAGGCCACACCCTGAGATTCGTTGTAAAGGTAGCATTTTGAGGGGATTTAACATGCTGGAAAACCAACAACAAATGGGATCTAGTATGATTTTAGACCAAAAATGGTGATGGGTCAAAATGGAAACTACCAGAGGAATGGAAAAGTGGAACGTCCAAGGTTACTAGTGGCTTCATCCGGTCGTTCAGTGAACTCCTTCCACTTCATCCGCTGCTATGGCGGCCCGGGGGATTGATGATGCGGAACAGCAACATTTTAACTGGCACTGTTTGCCAAGGGTGCTGTTGAAAAATGGGGGTGCTACTCCACTTGCAAAAACAGCAACTGGTACTGGGAAGAAAGTGGGAAAAGGACTGCGGGGGTTAAATAAAATGGGCGCATCGGATGCATGGTACGAGAGACCCCATGTTGCAGGGTAACATCATGCAAATTGTCCAGAAATTCTTTGTTGAAGACATGGAACTTTGGTTTCAAAACACCTCGAAGTGTACTTTGCCAGATAAGAAGTTTGGCTGAGGCTGAGAACCTAGTTTCTAAGCATTTGCCACTATATTAGTTAATGTTTGGGCTTTACTTGGGATGATCTCTGAGAATTGCAAATGATGGCGGTTTTCCACCCGGTCTACCACCACAAAACTCACGTTTTTATATTTCATCAGATAGTGTCCCTAGTTCGCAAGAGCACTCTGGTGCCACCTTATGCTATGGTACCATTGCTCTTGAGCACAGGTGTCCTGTCCGGAAAATCACCGAAAAGATGCGTTGGTAAAATCCTACTACAATAGTGATCAATTGCTGCTTTTCTATCTGGAATATAATATATGCATAAATCTGGGAAAGAATCTACAGAATTGGTGGCTATAATATGGAAATTCACTCATATTGTAGAATCATCGCATCAATTACTTATAAATAATCCACATGCAAACCAGTCAGTATACCCTGTGGTACCCTCCAGTAACGAAACATGCTTGGCTGCGGAACCCTAAATGGACACTTGAATGGGAAGATCATCTATGGAGAATCGTCATGGCTGCCATGTTTCTCGGTTATCTAACATGGCAGAATTTGGAAAGAAACATGGGTATTTATTTTGAATAGCCCCTGTAAAGCATCTATAAATCAGGGCTATTCAATTGCCAAAAAAAAAAAGATTATCAGAGGGTAAGCATCGACTAAGCAACAACGAATCGCCGTTCGGGATTATGTCAAATCACCTGTTTTTGCTGAGAAAAAACAAATCTGTTTGCTTGTTAAACTCCCATCAATATAACCATCAACCATTCTGGTTTTGCCCCAAAATGTCGAAATCTCCTTGAATCCTCGAAATTTTAGAGGAAATCTCCATGGCGTGCTGAAATTCATTCCCCCAGAAATAGTTCGCTGATTTGGTGAGCGAGAAATCTGCATTTCGTTCGGGGATTTCCATGTCGCCTGCCAGGGCTTGTCATAACTCGTGGAGTTCGTCGAGAGGGATGGGCTCAGGGATCTCGGCGGTGTTGGCCTGGGAAAGAGTGAAATCCAAACACAAATAGTATACCAGTTTAACCAATGTTTAACTAATCTTTAATGTTTAACAAATGGTTTAACTCATGTTTAACAAATGCTTTAACAAGAAGTTGGGGAAGCAAACAAATGCAGATCGAAAGCAGTGAAAGTGAAAGTTATGAAGTCCACTTTGGGGGCTGTCAAAATTGACCCAAATTTGGGCTTAAAGGCTGGTGGTTTCAGGCAAAAACATCAAACGTTGACACGTACTTAGAGGAACATGATCATGATGATGATCATGATCATCATGATGATGATGATGATGATGTATCTCAACTGATACATCTCATATACATGTGTATATATATATACATATTCTATATGCTTGGAGAAGTACTACGTGAGGTCCTCAGTTCTTCTTGTTTTAGCCCAAGGTACTCCCGGGCTCTCTTCGGCTTAGATCGTGTCGATGCCTTGGCCCTGGCGTCGAAAGAATGCGAGTGGCCAAGCAGGAGCTTGTTCCAAAAGGCCTCAGTCACAGCATGTGCCAACAAACATCAGGGTTTGTTAAATGTCCCATTTTAGGGATTTTGAACATCGCTTTCAAGTATCTGTTGGAGATGAAAAATCCCCAATATTTGGATGATGTTCAAGTAGGACATTTACCAACCCCTGAAAAATGGTAAACATGTGGATTGAACCATGGAAACAAGGAGATTTACCACATCGAAAATCAAAATTCAGACTGGATTTGGCTGTATCCGAAAATGCGACAAATAACAATTTTAATAGGGACAATGATGACCAACCGATCTGGATTTGGGGGTGCCCATGTTTTCACAAACCGATCAAAACTGTACGTGCCTTTAAAAAAAAAAACCGTGTGCTGATTGTCGGGTCGTAAGGACTTCTACTACGGATTATGGACTAATCCACAGGAAACCTATCAACGAATCAACCAACTAGTATTTCATGAGATGGTTCACGAATGGGGTATCTATTGTGGTGGTTCACGGCATGTGATCCACGTGCCACGGCATGTGCAAGTTTCGGGATGGATAGTGTTTCTGGGATAGTTTAAGCAAACAAAATAGGGGAGTCAATGGGATATCATCACAGGAGATGTACCCAACATCAGTCAACATCTACTGTGTGCCATGGCATTAAGTTGCATGGGAACAAAATACTGGCTGGATGGGTTACTGTCATCCCATTCCATGGGAATCCTGAAAATTAATGGGAACATTGATATGGGGATGGGTCAAAACCCTGGTACCTAGTGAACCCCAAAATAGCTGGTAAATGGATGTTCATCCCCCTAAAAATGGTATTAATAGGTATTGATCCATAGCCATATAAATCCCTCTGACCGTCCCGCATCATGGGTATACAATGCAATCTTTTACAACGGCACAAATCTTGGTGAAATATACCCACATGTTCGGGGTTCCAACATCGCCTGAAATGGTGAACAACGAGATAGTGGGGGAGGCGAACCCCTTCAAAAGGTCTGTGGTCATCCAGGAAACATCAACAACTCACCCTGGTGAGGTCGACTGGGGCAGTTTAGAGGGCTCCAGTCTCCAACCTAAAAACAACGCAACAAAAATTGGGATATGAATTATGAGTCAAAAATCAGAGAAGATTTTTTACGAATTCAGGAACTGGTCGGTAGCCCTGTGATGTTGGTATGAAGCCACTACTATAGCTTATCCAATCCTCCTACTAAATACACAGCAAGGGACCATGGGACAATGGGACCAAGGGACCATTTTGACCACTAAAAGTTGAGCAGGCTGTTAGGGAGTGTATTCCCACGAACATGGCTGGGGATATTGGACATCGGGGGTATGACCAATAAGATTCTTAATCTGGAAATGTCAAGTGTCAGGTTCTTCAAATGAACTTGGAGATAGTGCACGATCTTGCCAACGAAACAAATAGATAGCCCATCACTACCAGGGTATTTTTGGAGTATTCACCAACAGCTACAAGGATAAGATGAACTTGGGGGATAGTGCCACTTAGTAACTGGCTAATAACCCTAGTTAGTCCCCATTAGTGGGGTCGGTTATCCTATATAACTTATATATATATATGACATATAATATAAGTGGGTTCTGAAGCCCACTTACCAACCAGTTGTTAGTTGTTGATTGATTGGGTACAATTTGGAATGCTGCCAGGGTCTGTAACAAAGCCACTGCCGTGCATACAGCCGTAGGGATCTACGCCCAAGTTATGGAATTGTCGTTGGGTTTATGTGACGTACATGGTCTCATGGCAAATCTGAGCTACCCTAAAGGAAAAGCTTGTTAGTCGTACTGTTTCTCGTGTACAGCAAGAGAAATGACCCCCTAACTTACCAAATCAAGGTAATCCCTTCCCCACATCAACATCAGTACCATCTTAGGTAATTACCCCCCAATCGAAACCTCCAGAGTAGAATGTATTGGATTGCCATCTGGTTATGACTATCAGTTTGCCATGGAAAGATCCACCCATTTTCAATAGGTAAACCATCTATTTCTATGGGCCATCTATACCATGGCTATGTTAAATAACCAGGGGGTATTATTCATGAATAGGCGCAAAGAAGAATCTAGGACCTAGGAATTTAAAATGATCTATGCAATTTCAAAAGAAAATTGAACTAAGAAAAAGAGGTTATGCTCCCAGTAAATAACCCCTTCTGCGCCAAACGACAGCAAGCTCATCCAAACATTCCTCGGCGAGTGGCATGATGAATTCCAATTGGTTCATGGGGTTTAATGCGGGTTCAATGGGTATTTCATGGATATGTATATATATATATATATATCATGGAATATGAATCTGGATAAATTTCAATGTGATTGTAATGTATTGGTACTTAGTGACTGGTAAACGTGTTTGAGAGCCTACCATTCCCTCAACAGTTTGACCCTGAGAATCACCCATTTCAAGACTTCTCTTCCAAGCCACAACTCATGTTGGAGTCTATGTTGCTTTGTGGGGAAAAAAAAACTAGTTACAGGATAAACTACGAATCGGGCACTTATGACTACCAGGGTAGTCATAGCCACTTACTAAATGGGCTGATCCTCCAAGTACCAATAGTGAAGGGTTTCATACATTATGTACTCTCTATCAAAACCAGGAAAAAATGGTATTTACATATTCAATGTTTTCTTTCTGGGACAAAACCAGCAATTGTGGGATGCAAACACCCTACAAACAAAAAAAAACACATGGCTGTGGGAAAACCCTATGTTTAATTGTCATGAAGAATACCCCTGTTCTCCCATCCCTCCTGGTTGATACGTTGACAGGTATTCATTATGAAATTGGTTAGATCGGAAAAAAAAAAAACGGGTCAACAACCGGCTATAACATCAACCAACCATATCCCCATATGTTTGAGCGGTAGATTGGCCAATTGGCCCAACTAACTTGGCTGGGGTTTCTCACCTCAGATCAGGACACATGACTATTTTCAAACTAGAAATATTCAGCACTCTTGGCATGATTATAGCAGTCCCCCAAAGAATTAAAAAGTCATCTACCACTATTTTAGAAGGATTTCATTTGTTCCATTTTTGGGAGGTGACTATATCCCTAGTACATACCCTCTGGTAAACGTTTACATAACGAACTGGAAAATCATCATGCTATTCATGGGTAAATCCACTATTTCTATGGCCATGTTCCAGTTCGCAAACTGTTTGTCATAACCAGAGGCTATATCCATTAAATTACCATTAAATCCCATTAAATCACCATTAAATCACCATTAAATTACCATTAAATCCCATTAAATCTCATTAAATCCCATTAAATCACCATTGTCCCATGATATTCCCACTGTTTGTTTAACAGGGGGGTACCACAAAATCGGTGACAGCACCGGATCGAACACAAAAATCACTGAATCTCAGCCGCCACGGAAAAGTGCGTGTCGTCCGCTGCTAGCTCCCATCGCTGCACCTGGTCACTGAACGAAGATCCGTTCAAATCAATCACCTACATATGTGTGTATATGTGTCTGTACATATGTGTCTTTGCACACACAAACACACAAACATATACGTACACATACATACATTGCATTGCATTACATTACATTACATTGCATTAGAACAGCTTACAGTGCCATACATCACATAGCATTACGTTGCATTGCATTGCAATGCAATGCACTGCATTGCATTACATTACATTACATCACGTTACATTACATCCATCCATGCAGACATTCATACAAACACACATACAAACATACATGCATACATAAATTACATACATTACATACATTACATACATTAGATTCAGTACATAGATTACATACATTACATACATTATGTTCAGTGCACGGATTACATACATTACAAACATTGCATTACATTACATTGCATACATTTACATACATATACATACATTTACATACATTTACATACATTTACATACATTTACATACATTTACATACTTTACAAACATTTACATTGTACATAGGCACATTTACATACATACATACATTTACATACATTTACATCACATCACATCACATCACATCGCATCACATCACATCACATCACATTACATTACATTACATACGTACGTACATACTTTACATACATACATTACATACGTACGCACGTACGTATGTTTGTACGTACCTACAAACATTACACTACACTACACTACACTACATTACATTACATTACGTTATGTTACGTTATGTTAGATCACATCACATTACATCACATCACATCACATCACATCACATTACATTACATTACATACGTACGTACATACTTTACATACATACATTACATACGTACGCACGTACGTATGTTTGTACGTACCTACAAACATTACACTACACTACACTACACTACATTACATTACGTTATTTTACGTTATGTTAGATCACATCACATTACATCACATCACATCACATCACATCACATCACATTACACTACATACATTGCATTACATTACATTACATCACATGACTTTACTTTACTTTACATAAAATTACATTACAGTACAGTACATTACAGCACATTACATTACAATACATTACATTACATTACACACATTACATTACATTACATTACATTACATTACACTACACTACACTACATGACATGCCATGACATTACATTGCATTGCATTGCATTGCATGCATACACACAAACAGTAACATCACGATACATTACATTTCATTGCAATATACTCAATGCATCCCTTAAAATGGTCATACGCATCAACCTGCCACATGACCATCATTTATCAATTGGGTTTTCATCTTTTTTGTGAGTAAGACTCCTACAAGTGATGGTTGAGCACCCAATTAAAGATAGGTACCCTCTGGTAATCAAACGTGGCATTGAAATCCCGGAACTCAATGGGCATTTGAAGAGGAAAATCATCACACGAAATGGGGGTTCTAAATAGGGTATTTTCTGGCAAACCATGTCTGATTACCAGGAGGGAATAACCAACCAACCATGTAACTGACCATCATGTTTCAGCTGCATCCTCAAACGTTTAATGCTAAAATTTTGTTTGATGGTTCAATCATGAAAAACCGCGATAACAATTATCTACAAGGTTTTTAAAACCAACGGGGGTTTTGAAACTGTTGCGTCCGTACTGCGGCCGCATCCCAACCTGCCTCATTACGAGCCTCAACAACTTCAAAGCCAGCATTTCGGACCCATCTGCGGATCTTGTCCATATTTTCCTTGAAATTGCTTGAAGCGCCCAAAAATCGCATAGACAACACATACAGCATACAGACCGTACATCGCAACAATGTATATTAGGCAATTGTGTATACTATTTATGTAGGTATATTTTAGTTATATCATGCATGTATATATATATATTTATTTATTTATTTATATTTTGTTTTGAATAAATAGACACACTTGAAATATTATATCTACGCCTGTATTGCACTTAATTCAATGCTATAAAGTGTATGTATCAATAAATGTCTACGCACCTAAATTCACAAATACATATACTGCATACATGCATGTATTCAAGCGCGATATATATATATATAATGTAATTCAAGTATATTGTGTGCATATGTATATTGGTGGTAGATATGTATATATATATTGTGTGTGTGTGAATTTACTGCAATTCTATGTTTGTAAAAAACTGACCATATCTTCACATATATATATATATAGATTGATTGAATATATTGAAAGGATATAGTATGAGTATGTATCGGTTGAATACATAGATATGTATATATATATTGAATATATGTATATGTATGTATAAAAATATATGTGTGTATAATGGTGATACTCACACTTTGCCTGTACATATACATTGTCAAAGGAAGTTGGGAAGCAATCTTGCGAGGTACCGATGAAGTGGAATGCAGCAACACTACATCACATAACAATACATCACGCAACAATACATCACATAACAGTACATCACGCAACAATACATCACATAACAATACATCACGCAACAATACATCACATAACAATACATCACGCAACAATACATCGCAAAACAATGCCTCACGCAACAATACATCACAAAACAGTACATCACGCAACAACACATCACGCAACAATACATGAGAAAACAATACATCACGCAACAATACATGAGAAAACAATACATCACGCAACAATACATCACAAAACAAATACATCACGCAACAATACATCACATAACAACACAGCACGCAACAACACATAACATAACAAAACATCACGCGACAATACATCACAAAACAATACATCGCACAACAATACATCACATAACAATACCGCATACAACAATACATCACAAAACAATATATACAGCACACAACAATACATCACATAACAATACATCACGCAACAATACATCACATAACAACACAGCACGCAACAATACATCACATAACAATACATCACACAACAATACATCACAAAACAATACATCACGCAACAATACATCACATAACAATACATCACGCAACCATACATCACAAAACAATATCACGCAACAATACATCACACAACCATACAGCACACAACAATAACCAACAAACACGGGCGTAAAGAAGAGCGGAAATATGGGAATATAATGGAACATACCAAGGTATGTGACCAGCAGTATCATTTGGTGTCTCTCTGAAAATCCGTGCGCCCATCAAACAACAATTTTATTGACAGCCTATGACGACCAACTAACCAGCATGAATTACCCATGCAATAAGGTTCTGTTCTCATATTTGTACCTGCTCAAGGGACGCAATACGGTAAACCTGGAACCAACCCAAACCCAACAACACACCCAAATGCCACACTATTTCGAGTACAAAACTCAATCTCATATTTAGGAGTAGTATTCCCTCATATTCATCCTCGAAAATGTTAACTTTTCAATTCGGACAGAAGCATCGCTAGTGGGCATTAAGTAGCACAAAATGTCGCCCGTCAATTTTTGGGCGACTGGCCAAGGAAACAACTATGGGTCAGTTGGAAAGGAACCGTTCTAATTTTACAGGAGTGGATCAGCCATTCCACTGAAAAGGGCCACTGTTTCAGGTTGGCCATTCGGGGCAGCTATGCGTTGGCACTTCTGAATAAGGTGTGCCTATTCCGAGAATAATTGAATAGGATCAGAACCCACGCATCCCTGCAGTCTTCAAAACTGGTAAAACACCCAGACCTTTGCAAACTGACCTCTTGAAAAGATATAGGGATGTTGCTTGTGATTCATGCTGTTCTCAATTGAGATGGAGCAAAAATTGCCAACATCAGGAGCTACTATAACCACAAACAAACATGCACGCAGACGCTGCAATGGATATGGAAAAACTGTTTGGGGTCTACGGGGGTGTAATGTTGAAAATGTGCCCTGATTTCGGCCTCCATTTTTGTACATGTGTGTTTCTTCCTTCAGAATGCATTTGTTGATTCAATATCATTATCAATTATGCAAGTTTGCATTGTATCTTACACTGTTTTCTAGCAACTGGTATATATTCATTGAGTTTGGTTATTTCACTAACATATCAAAAGGTAGGCCCTAGAGCGGTGATGATAAATATATATATATGCATTGTGTATGTACGGATGTATGCATGCATGGATGAATGGATGAATGGATGCATGCATCATTGCAATGCAACGTAATGTACATGTAATGTAATGTAATATAATATAATACGATGTAATATAATGTAATGCAATGTAATGAAATGAATATGGGTATACATTTACATATATATATATATACACCTACATAATATGTATATATATACACATATACACATGTGTATGTATATATATATATGTATGTACATATATACACATATACATGTGTACATATATACATATATACATATATACATATATACCTATATACATATATACATATATACATATATACAAATATACATATATACATATATACATATATACATATATACACATATACACATATACACATATACAATATACAAATATACATATATACATATATATACATATATACATATATACAAATATATACATATATATATATATATATTATTTACATATATATATACATATATATATATGTTTATACATATATAATCATATATATATACATACATATATATGTATGTATATATATATGTGTGTGTGCATTGTTTTTGTGCACATGTACATTATAGTCTATAGTGTCTATCTTTACATATTGTAGTGCATATTGATATACAGTAGTTATGTAGATACTGTATGTATGTACATCTCTGGTATATTGTACGTAAATTGTATGTTCTCCCTCTTGCATAAAAGATTCTGTTTATGTATACATGCCCAGCAGTTGTTTTGCAGGGGACTCTTTTGGGGAAACAAAACGTGACCTTCGTTGGTCTCATCCAGGTCTCATCATACGCACGGCAGTATCCATATTTCGCCTGTCAGGGGGTCACACAAGCAGTGACTGAGACTGGTAAGACCAAGTGGGCAATGTCCTTGTTGTTGGTGATTTGGAATTTGTTTTGACTTTACCATCAAATATGGAAAAAATCATGATTGGTTTTTCATGGTTTTTCATGGTTCACGGTCAGTTTTTCATGTTTTTTTTTATAGTGATCTTGAATTGGACACGATAAAAACTGGCTGGTCTTTCGGGGTTCTCATAATGGTGCGTGATGGTGCGTGTGTGCGGTTGTTGGGGTCAGGAAAGAGCTTGAATTGGAGTGACAAGGGGTGAATGCATACATTGTATACATCAACCCTCCCTAATTTGGAAACAAATTCGGCCAGAAAAATGTGGCCTTTTCATGTAAAACGAGAACTTACATGTAAGAATTTCAGCCTTAGTAGCCCAAAGTCGATGCCTCATTGGCTTACGACCCCCAGGGTACCCTCAAAAATTATTCTTCGGTTCTTATCAAACGATTCCACTATGGTGCTACCCCGATAATGAGCTATCAATTGGTATTTAGATTCGTTGTGAGGGTACTGCTCAAGGGGGCTACAAGAAACTGGGCCCCAATCTTATGCAAGATCCCGTGAATGTTGTAATGAACCTAGGTTTTTTTTCTTTGGGGGTTGCCATGTTTACTCGTCATTGACGAGGTCCATGTTCAAAGCCCAGTTCAATCAAACTGAACCTTTTCGCACTTAGGATGGCTAACATCGATGGATGAACCGTAGGGATGATCGATGAAATAAATCATCAAGTAATTGATAAATGCGGGAGTTCATCTCCACTTCCTGGGACAAAATGGAAGTTAAACATGCTTGAGGAGTGGCCCCTCCAATCCCTCCATTAGGCTGGGTTGACGTCAATGCCGCATTCCCAAACCTCATAGGCCCTTGACTTGATGATCTTGATGGTTCCCCAATTCTGAATTGCAGCTGCTATGAACATATTTGAGATATCCTGCAGCACCATGTTTGTTGCGTTGAATCCCAGCAAATTCAGTTTGTATACACATGTTGCATCGTAAATACCAATGTTTCTTCGTGATTTGCTGATCAGGTATTGATGACTTGCGCCAATTGTTTGTGCATTACAGTAGTTCCAATCCCCATTTCGGTTGGTTCCAAAACCAGAAATTCATATCTCTCCGAGCTGCAGAGAAACCACCAATGAAGAATACCACCCGCATCCACGGTTTGTCGCCTCGGGGAAAAAATTTGGCTCGAACTCATCGGGGTTGCCAGAACAAATTGGAACAAACAAATGGAAGAAAGTGAAAAAACACCTGGGAAATGCTTTAAATGAATAGTAAAACTGCAGTTCAGGAAGTTGCAGCAACACTTTTTCAACTTTGCCAGTTTAAACCAGCCAAAAATTGCAGTTCAAATCTGGGGCCCGAATTTGCGGCCGATTGATGTTCAATCAATGGCTGCAAACACTTTGAAATTACCCTTTGGTAATTTAACATAGCTATTGAAAATGGCCATTTATAGTGAATTTTCCCATCAAAAATGTTGATTTTCCATAGTTATGTTAGTTTACCAGAGGGTATGGAGTTGCAGGAAAGGATGTGGCAAAACAGCCTGCTCGACGGTCATTTATCATGTAAAAACCCAGAATAAACCAGTGGCTGAGTGGCGCGAACAATCCACTTAACTGCGCGCTCCATTGTCGTGGGAGGGACGACCCCTTGTAGATACAGGTATTGAATATTAGATAACAAACAGTATACATATTAGAACACATTAGATATATACTGATATACTAGATAGATATATATATATATGTAGACAGATAGAATACTTATACAGATATATATATATGTGTAGACAGATAGAATACTTATACAGATATATATATATATAGTGTATATATATTATATATCTTTATTTTATATATATATATACATATCATAGAATACTGGTACAAAAATATTGATAAAGAGTCAGATTCAAATAGGTAGATAAGAAAATACATAGGTAGATTAAGATTGAGAATGACATTCATAGGTGTTGATGTTGATTGTGACATTGGATGCGAATACATATGCATATATACAGGTGCCATCATAATATGCTGGTAGAAACATCATCACCATCACCCCGAAACCCGAAGCCTCCCCATCCTAAATGGTTGACCCGTTATCTACAAGGTGGATATCTCATGACCAAAAACTTGCCTTGGGCAGTCCCCAAAGTATCTTAGAAATCCTGCGAAACGGTTGTGCAGCTGGATAGTACATTATCTCCATGGCAAAAGATGCAAATTCCACTACCCAAGGTTTTTAGGGGGTTGACCTCTTCCGTGAACTGATCAAACTGCAAGACCTTCACTGGTTGGTCGTTAAAAGAACCAAACCCTGCCAAAGTGTGATGTCTTATCCAAAGTAGGATTGGAGTGTGTTCTTTTCGCTGCATCGTCCTGAAAAATACGAAGCAGTGCAAAAACTCAACAGTCCTGCAAATTTGAAGCCACCTGAACTCCTTACCTTCACCCTTTCGCAAGGATTCTTGCCATCCTCAAAAAGTCAAGGGACAATTTCATCTCCCAATGGATCTTTATCCCGACACACCATTCATAAGGAAAGTTGTAGGGTTTGACCGACCTTTGCTAGATCCGAATGTTTGAGGAAATCCCAAAATGTGTTGCTAAAAATGGGTTTAGCTGAGAAAAGGTGGATACCCTGTGAAAGTTGCCGATTTGCCAAAAAACAATTGAATTTGTTCTTTCAATACAAAACCAGTTCATTTTTCATCCAAAACTTTCAGGAATTGTCTGGCCATCAGAATCGGGGATAAATCCTGCACCCATCAGAATCCCAGGCACGCAACACCGTGAACAACTTGGACCACTGTCGATACTGATCAGGCTCCTCATTATCCACCAAAAAATGGGCGGTTTCTTGACATCTAGTTGCTAGATGTAGAACCGTCTTGAAAGACATGAATGCTCAGTTTTTACGGATTTTTGGTCTACCAAAAATGGGGATGAGTTGGACAATCCATTTATGGTAATATTGAGGATGGTTTATTGTTGGGTTTACTGTACCAACTTAAACATTATATATATATACACATTGGATATTATCATTCCAAACAGGAAAAGAGAAACTAGCATATTTGACTACCACACGCAGATGTATGGATTTGGCTGAATTCATCATCAGAGAATGACATGTACTTAACTACCATGGAGTGTGAATAATTCGGATGTTCATGGGTTTATATGTACAATGTTGGGTTCAAAATTGGGAGTGAACATGAGTGAACTAGATAGAATCAAAATCTGGTTGAATTTGTATTGCAATTCACCAACTAGAAATAAGGTGATAGCGCCTTTTGGGCATGTCCCCTTAGCCGCTAGCCATTTCGAAAGAGTGCTAAAAATCATTGTCAGTTCTCCCTGTTTGATGAAATCCCCATTTTGGGCCGCGGTCAGTGCACCATTCGGACCATTTATCTTTGCTTATCTAGTCCCACAACCAGATTTGTTGAGCCATTTTCAGAAACTGGTTAACCATGGTTAACCAAGTTCGCCAGTCTTTGAATTTCATAGTTTCATTGAAATCCCAAAATATGCTGGTGCTGTAGAGCTGTACATCACCAGCAGACAAGGCGTGCAAAGAAAATTGTTGCGTCTCTTACGTAGATCCAGATTCTTATCTTAGATCATCTACAGATTGTGTTGTTTTCCTCCACTGCCAGGTTTGATGAATGGAAGACCTGAATAGTCCAGCAAACCAGGCTTGATGAACGGAAGACCTGAATAGTCCAGCAACCCTAGTTATCAGTGGTGGATAATCATTTTGGTGTCAGATGTAAGGGGGCTGATGAGTTCCTACAGGAAAGGAGTACTGAGTGCCCTCCAGCAAATCAGGTAACATGGCTGGCAACAATATACATGTATATATATATAATTATATAAATCACTCTTTTCATGTCCAATCTTAAATATGCTATATTTCTTGCTGCTTTTCCAGGACACCATGTTTATTTCCAGGAATGCAATCTGTTTTGCCCAACGTAAACATCATAAACTCAAAAACTCATAGGAAACAAGTTGAATTTCTTGACCCCAACTGCTCCCAACTACCATTCTGAACTGCCCACGTCGAGTGTCATTCATGGGTTTCTTCACGTGCTCATTCCCAAAATAGGAAATCCCGAGCACATCAAAGCGTGGGGGAGGCGCCTCAGGTGTCAAGTAACCACTGATGGGATAAGCGATTTTTTTTAGATCATGATCATATTGTTACTTGTTACATATGTTGTGATTTAGTTGTTTGGGTTCAAAAAATCATGGTTCTGAGCCACATACCCATTAGCCAACACTGTCGCCAAGGATCACAAATATTCCAAACTCAAATCAATGAGAAAACTAACACCGCCACTTGCAGGTCATGTCCAAGTCCATTGTTGGGGGGGTCCATCTCAGATTGCAAAATAGATGTTGAAAAGGGTCGGACCGTCGAACATGTCAACATGACCCCTACTACTTGCAGGTTCAACAAGGCCATCTCCGACTTCATCCCCACCTGTGGGGTCCCGGTGAGGAATCGATAGATATCCTGCTTTCCGCACGGCACGACAGCATCGCATGGTTAAAAAAAAACACCATGAAGCAACCAGATAAGAAGTCGGTATCACTACCTACTTATGATGGGCCCTTGCCTAACTCAGGCAACTTTCCTGCGAGTTGATTTGAAGTATAGAGCGCATCATTGATCGGCGTGGATGAACTGTGTATAAGCCAAGCGAATCCAAGGGCTGTCTGGAAACCAACACGAGAAATGAGAAAGGCCCAAGTGATTTTTGTTTGCAGAAACATCTTAAGGTGAGTTTACATGAAAAACTTCCGGGCACCAAGTTCAATCGAGAACCGTCATTCACCAACTGAAAACGGTGGATGTTGAAGTCAGGACAGTGGACCCACTTCCCAGGCCACTTGCTAAGCCCAGTCCCCCAGTCCTGCAGTCCACGTCCTGCAAAGACCTTGTCGTGCAGGTTCGTGTACCCGTAGTCATTTCTCAGGACCTTTGCCACGGGTGACCTGCAGTCGATTGTCGGCAGAGTGTCTTCACTAAAAGGATGGTCCCCGAATGCAAAATTCATGCATGAAACTGGCGCTACACCCCTTTAATTCTACGACAGACCACGGGGAAAGGACATCTATGGTCCCACATCTTCGTTTCCTTCAATAAACATCAACCAACTCTAGTGACCCTAGTGATGGCGAAGATTGCCAGATGTCTGGATGCCGTGAAGTCTGACAAGTTGATGCCATCCAGCCACCCTTCAGGGCTGGAGAATAAACTTGCACTCGTAGTCCTCACAGAAAAGGTATTGTAAAGTATTATATTATAATTTGTAACATATTATAATCCCCATAGGTGTCCTTTTTGTATAAATAGACGGTGCCATTTACCATCATTCACCTTTTGTTGGTTTATTTGGGATACACCCTCTATTTATCAACCAACCAGTGATAAAAGGACAGCCATGATAATCCCACTCATCTGAAAAGGGAAGACACATTTACTCATAATTTTCTTTCTCATTTGTAAATATCTGTTGATGGCCCCATCGCATCATCAGATTCCACGATTCATGAACTTCCAAATTAGAACTGAGGATAGGGCAATACCTCTGAGACCATCACTACCTATGAAGCCATTTGTTTGCGGGACCACAACTACCAGTTAAGAGTTTCATATGAAAACAATTGACTAGCTACTAATGATCCAATTTTCGTCACCCAGCATCACCCAGCTAGAAATCGATCAAATCCAGAGCTGTTGTCCGAGGTGCTGCTTTTTGTTGGCCCTCTTTGTGTAGAGGGAACTGTCGCCTATGAGTCCAAAGCAAAGACTGCTCTGCATTGCAGGGGACAGGCGGCAGCGCAAACGCTAAGCTTGAAGCACCGCAATGACAAACACAGTGGCACAGTAGTTTAACGAAGCAGTTTTGCATGCTGGAGGCTTAACATAGTGGACCTTTTCGTGCTAAATAAGTCAAGTTAAACTTCCTTCTGTCATCCTGATGCCGGTGCTTTTCACTCAATCTGGAGCCAGAAAAATATGGTCGAGGTTGCCATCCGCCTTGCGGCACCCTGTCAGCTGGCAGTGCCTCAGATGCTCAGCCCTGCAAACATCCGTTACACCAGGGCACTCCAGGGCCTTCCCGTGACTTTTTGCAACGCAAAAAGGGCCTCCAGGATTGCCAATTCCCCAGCCTGGGGAGTCCATGTTTACAGCTCCACGCTATGGGCTATGGGGTTTCCTCTGGCCCGTGGATCCAACGTCACCGACGTAACCAACAGCATCTGTGGAGGAGTTCCCTGCTTGGAGGATCATCCTCGATATTGTGGGATCCTAACGCCAGCATTCCAACCAACCAAAAAGGGGGTCGGCGGTCGGCTTTTATCCCAAAGAATACTCCGTTTCATAGACCCCAAAACTGGTCCACTTGGCAGTGGCTCATTATTGGTTTTACCGTTTTACCTCATCAGCTGATTGCCCCAGTGATACATGGGAAAACTCCAGGACTCCTTTTTTTGAAGCATCCATCATTTTCACTGTATCTTTTGCAAGGAGCAAAGTTCATTGGAAACCAAACACAGAAAAATCCTTGTGATCTTAAGGGTGCATGTTGAACTTCTGAAACCAGGGATTCAAATCTTTATCTCCTAATCATTTCAAGTATTCCCGAGGATTTCTTGGATGTTCCTAATGATGGATCCAGTTCATGGTCCGCGGAAACGTGGCATCGCCACTTCATGAGCTAGAGGCGCCGCGGCGGAACGTGCCGGGGCTCCTTTTTGGGCTCAGCGGGCAGCAGGCCACGTGCTTTCAGCCTCAGAGATAGGTAGGGCCGGGTGCTTCACCATGGTAAACTCCAAAATTGCAATAAAAAAGGATACCTCCGATAATCGAACATGGCAATTGAAATCCTATAGTTCAGTAATAAATAAGATGTTTTGTCTCTGCCAAAACCATGGAAAAGCAAAAGGGGAAACTCTTCTATCCTTCTATCTTTTTGGGGGATTACTCTACATATCGGCCGAAGATCCTCTCAACAAAAAATTGTGAAGGGTTAAAAGCCAGTTACAAACCATCTACAACCCCTTCAACCTGCCACCAGTGCTCCGGAGCCAGTTTCCCCAATGATGCGTCGCACTCGGCTGGTATGGATCGTCCTTTTTCGACGAAAGACGAAAAGGAGGTGGTAACTATTTTTTGTTTTGGGCCTGCGGTTATGGTCAGAATGATGAACAGCCCACTGAAAAACTAACCTGCTTTCATGAAATGGTGAGATTTTAGTGGTGGTTACAGGGATACCCGAGACCTTCAGGGAGTCCCAGATTGGGAAAAAAGCTGACCGCATGGCCTCCAACATTTGCATAATTTACGACAATTCAGTCGACTTTTAGGTCTCCAACATCTGACTCATTTGGGATTTAGATCTGGATACACCCGCATTGCTGGTGCAGAGTTTTCCAACTCCGGGACAACCCGAATACATTTAGGTTCACAAGCCCTCACCAAATGTTCAGTGCTACAGGTTGTGGGTCTTGCATTCTTGCATTTCCCTCACAAATATCGCCTTTTTCAGGGGGACCTAGCCACTATTTGACCATCAAAATTTCTAGGCTTGAAAGTCCCAGAATGGCAGCTGGATTGGATATGCCCCCGAAATTGACTATATGTTGTTAATAGAAATGGTGATTGACTTGTAGATTTGGGGATACCTTATTTGCAGACAGCCCCAAACATCAAATCACCTGTTACATCCTGGTCTATCCATGACCGAACGAGCAACATCATCGTCCGCCGCATCGCAAGCTCATCATTCCTGAGATCTCTTGAAAGCGTGCAAAGCCACAAGCCGCTTATGCGGATAAGTTAAAATATGGGTATGGGTAAAACCTAAAATGCCATATTTCGGGGGATAAACCTTCATTAAAACCAAATATTTTGATGGTCACTATGGTGTGCCCATACCAGGGTTTTAAGCCATGCCCATGTCCGACGTTATCGGTTGCCACAAATCACCCTGTCCTGTGGCACCACTTGATGAATGCATCACACAACTAGCCCATCACTTCACTTGAATTCGCAGTTTCATTGGAAAAAAAAATGCAGAATAGTTTTTTCTGGTCAGGTTTTCGCATTTTTTTTGACTTTCTTTCCTGGTACCATTTGCCTTGTATTTGCAACAGTTTGGAACCAGAACCTGTCATTTTGCATGGTATTTGCTACATTTTGGCATGGTCACGTGGCATTTTGCATGGTATTTGCTACATTTGACAATGTGCGCCTTCCATTTTGCATGCTATTGCCACATTTTGGCACTTCAACCTCATTTGAATGGTATTTGCAAATTTTTGGTACGTCAAACGTTCATGTGGGTTTCTTGAGGGTTTCTTTAGGGTTTCATTTAGGGTTTCATTTAGAGTTTCATTTATGGTTTCTTTAGGGTTAATGTATGGTTTCTTTAGGGTGCATTTAGGGTTTCATGTAGGGTTTCATTTAGAGTTTCATTTAGGGTTTCTTTAAGGTTTCATTTAGGGTTTCATTTAAGGGTTCATTTAGGATTTCTTTAGGATGTCATGTAGGGTTTCATTTAAGAATTCTTTAGGGTTTCATTTATGGTTTCTTTAGGGTTAATGTATGGTTTCTTTAGGGTGCATTTAGGGTTTCATGTAGGGTTTCTTATCAGGATTTCTATTCTTTCGGGGTTCATTTAGGGTTTCTTTTCGGTTTCCGTTAGGGTTTCTTTACGGTTTCAGTTAGGGTGTCGTTTAAGGTTTCTTTAGGGTTTCATTTATGGTTTCTTTAGGGTTCATGTAAAGTTTCATGTAGGGTTTCTTTAGAGTTTCGTTTAGGATTTCTTTAGGATTTCATGCAGGGTTTCTTATCAGGATTTCTTTTCACGATTTTTAAACGTTCAAGTGGGTTTCTTTAGGGTTTCATTTAGGGTTTCTTTAGGGTTTCATTGAGGGTTTCTTTAGAGTGTCGTTTAGGATTTAGGGTTTCATTTAAGATTTCTCTAGGGTTTCATTTATGGTTTCTTTAGGGTTAATTTATTGTTTTTTGGGGTTCATTTAGGGTTTCATGTATATAGGGTTTCTTATCAGGATTGCTTATCAGGATTTCTTTGGGTTTCACCTAGGGTCTCTCTAGGGTTTCATTTAGGATACAAACAGGAGAGAATAAATAAAGGAAAAGAAAGTGAAAAGCAAAGAGACAGTCAAGACAGGACGCAGAGAAGCAGAGGAGCAGGAAGTAGGTAGAGAAGCAAAAACACATGACTAAAAAAAAAAGTAGAATAGTAGAGGGAAAAAGGCACAGAAGCACAAAAGCAGAAAAGCAAAGGCGCATGGAAAGCAGAGAGAAGCAGAAAAGCAAAGAGCAGAAAAGCAGAAAAGCAAAGAGGCAGGAAAAGCAAAAAGCAGAACAGCAGAGAAGCAGAAAAGCAGAGAAGCAATGAAAGCAGAGAACCAGGAACCCAAAAAAAAACAAAACCTGGCCAAAAAAAAACAAAAATAAATAGCCGTCCGGAAAAAAAATGTGTTGTTCCCCAAACAGAAAAAGCATGTTCTTCTGATAAACTTCAGAACAGGCTAGGATACACCCCAAATTCACCTGGTTAAGCAGCAGATGGGTTTGTCTGAAAATAGGATCCATCTACAGTAAGTCCAGTGATCTATCATCATTTTCCCTTTTCAAATTTCCATTCTTGGGTATACCAGGTATGGCCACCCGCTTTCAGACAAACCTGTATTCCCCCCCATATTGTTGGTTATAATATACCCGGAGTAGATTGAATCCCATATATAAATATATACCCATAGAATGGTTGCTATTGTAACCCCATGTTTGAGATCAATTATCCCCATTCTATCCTCATTAGCCAAGTTTGTCCAAAAATACGGTACCCCAAATCCCCAAATCTCGTGACTACATTCATCGTTTCCCGATAAGAAGTGCCAGTTTGATCTGCACCCAAATTTTGGGCAAACCCAAATCCATTTGTCAATTGGTTAACTAGGGTGAAATTTACGATTTTCATGGTCAAGTTCGTCAAGTCCCAATGTTCATTGCTAACTCCCAATGTTCATGATCAAATCCTCATGTTCATTGTGAAATCATGAATCCCTTTTTTAACCATTTTGGGGGTTCACCACACTTAAAATATCTCTCACCCAGTGTCAGTTTCTTCTTGTCTCGCTCCAAACGTGCAGCCCTTTCTTGGCCCTTTGTCCAGTCATCGCCTCGAAAAAAATCCATGGAGCTCCCCGAAAAATGGCGGTGCATCTCAGCAAATGGATCATAAGCATATTATACCGTGAAAAAACCCGGTTATATAAGGAATATCCCCAGTTACGTATGTATATAATATACATATAATATATTTATATTTATATTTATAACTATATAAATATATATATATTGCATATATATGGGTTATGTTATACATATGGTTCATAAACCACTTCCTAGGTGGATGCACGTCCAAGTTCTCAGTGACACAACCAAGGCTTTTTTTATCAACGATTCGCTGGTGGTAAACGTGGCCCTGTTGGAACTGGATTGCTGGAAACCCTGGGGATTCCAAACCAAGGTGCTGGACACTGCTCCACAAAAACATGGCCAGTCATTGGCACGTGCTACCTCGAATATCTCGAATTTTAAATTTCGAAATATGAGAATCACCACTAGTAGCTGGTCCTTGGCTTCTTGCATTGGTCAATGATGTCCTCTTGGGAAAAATATTTCTGAGTGGCAAAACGGATACCATTGGATTGGTCTTAGGGAACAAAAGATACAGGAAACATCAATATTTGATCACCCGTTCATCCAGGAAAGGCTTCTTTTTCGATCGTGTTGCGGTAAGGACAACAGGCTTGTTTATACCAGAGCTTCAGTCTTGTTTTGGTTGATGAGTATTATCATTCTCAAAGACCAAAAGAAAACTGAAAAAAATCATTGGAACCCGCTGGTCATTGCTCCAATCATCAGCAGCCAAGATGAACTCATAAACCCTTTCAAAAATTGTGCATCCCAGTGCCTATCCGTTTGATGGTAACATAGTATACATAGTGACATGTGACATAACCCACTATGGTTCACTATGGTTCAGGAGACCATATCTGAGTCATAGCAACTTTCCAGGATGTACCTCCCCTGGCTGTTCCATGTGTGCAGTTTTACTGGGAGAACATGCCGACATGTCCCTGTCCAAGACTTGGGTACCAAAATCCATGCACTGAAAAACACCCAAATCTATTATCGATTGGTTAAATATGCTCAAAGCAACATTTTTCATGATCAAATCATATCAAATCCATGTTCACAATGTTTTGCTACTTAAAGCCTCATTTTTCACAATGTTTGATATTGTTTGATGGTGGATTTTCGCCAAGACGCTGCTGTCTGAGTTGAGATCACTCCAATTCACCGGGCGCTGCTGAAAATCGCGACGATTTTGTGGTGCAGGAAGGAGCCACTTGTCTCGGGGATCCTGCAACTGATATGGCGTGACCGTCAATGATAGGTCAGTCAGTTTACCCATAGGAAAACCATAGGAAAACCATAGGAAAACCATAGGAAAATGGAGGTTTACCCTCTGGTTATGTCAAAATAGCTATTGAAAATGGCCCATTGAAATAGTGGATTTACCCATTGATCGCATGGTGATTTTCCATAGTTACGTTAGTTTACTGGAGGGTAAACCAAGTGGGGCTTTGTGTTGAAGCGTCAACACATGCATTTAAGGTGATTTGTGATGGTTTGCGAAAATCGGTTTCTACCCTGACAATGTGATTCGTAAATGGTAAAAAGATGTAAAAAGACTGTACTCAGGGTGCAACATGTTGGGTCAACCGTAGGGGTTTGCCGAAGCAAACAAGGTTTCTGAGCTCGTGACCATTGGGTGGGTCGTGGGGGGGGTGGGGGGGATGTTAACGTTCATTGCGACTGCTAGGTTCTCTTGTACTTCTGCACATACGTCATGCTACGCTACTGCTAGGTTCTCTTGCACTTCCACACATACGTCATGCTACGCTAGGACCAATGAAGAACGGCAATCTGCCACGAAAGATTGCCACTCATGCGGCACGCGATCAATAGCACCAAACATTCGAACAATTCATCGAAACTCAACATGGCTCCGAAAGAAGTCTAATTATGATGTTCAAAAAAAACACACAACTTTATTTCTCTTTCCAACAAATCTCAAGTTCAAAAATCATGCTATTTTATCCGTGGGATCCCGCGAAAAAAACATGTTCGCCAAACATGAACCTGGTTCAAACAAACATCCCTGATCATGCAAACATCTTGCAAATGCTAATGTGAAACCAATGAAAAACACTGAAAATACCATGAAATTTCCTCCTACTAAACGGCTGCGGATGGACATACATGATCTTAACATATGTTACCCTTCTGCAAACTCATTCCGACTCACGGCAAACCCCCCCGGCAAACCCAACATGTTGCAAGAACGTCCTTTGCGGTGAACCGCCAATCCGAAAATCGGTTTTGGATAGGTTCTAACGGGAAAACACTCCGTTATTTAGAAAATCAAAACGATAGTGTTCAGCAAAAACCCTTATAAATGGATATGTGTCAAAATCATTGACTCATTGACCCCCCAGAAATGGATGTTTTCAGATGCATCTCAGATCATCAAAATGACTTTTGTTTTTTCCAGAAAAAAAAAACATCTCTTTATTGACCCATTGACCCCCCAACTTTTGAAGGTTAAATCCCCATCCTAGTCTTTTGATTCTTACCGGTAAATGAACGTTTACATAACGAACTGGAAAGATCCACCATGCTATTAATGATTATGTAGCTGGGTAAATCCACTATTTCGACTGGGCCATGGCTTCAATGTCGCAATTTAGACATAACCAGAGGGTAAATCACTTCAATGTCCCATAGTTGATGGCTAAATCATCTGAGTGAAGCAGGACAACCGAAGCACCTTGCGCGCCCTCTTTGGTTCCATCTGCGCCGCATCTGCCCTGAGAAAAAAACCCAGGAATCACAACGAACATCAAAAAAGCAGCGAAATACTGGGATTTAAGCAACAAAAATTCTGAACTGGTTTACCATCAAAAATTGTAGTTTAACCATATCAAAAATCCTCAATTCATTTCTGGGCAATTCCTTTTCCAGTATCATTGCTTAGATATGCTTAAATCCTAATTTGATGGGTAGATCCAATGTTGGACGTCTTAAGACCTCGCTTTTCCGCCACAAAATTCGAAGCTAAATCCTCCATGGTTTCAGATGGTGAAATCCCCATTTTGGTTACGCCATCACTATGTCTGGACCTCACCATTGCACCAAGGGGCTCGCTTTTGCGCTTCGCAGTCTGGAGCTTCCCGGGTCTCACGAATTTCCGAGGTTTGAGCAGCTGGCTCCAAAAGGCCTAAGGGGAAAGCCCGCGCGGAGCACCCCTGAGATTTACCAGATGTAAAATTGCAGCTAGAACTGTAAATTATTAGGGGAAAAAAAAATCATGCCAACAAAATGTTGCTTTACTCAGGAAATGGATTTATCTATATATATATCGATAGAATGGGGGATATAGAAGCAACAGTGTATGGGTTTGATAGGATATCCCAATCATATCTTGTGCATCATTATCAGGCTGGGGCTCGTGATGTATCATTGATCTTATCCAACACTACTTGTTAGTAAGGCACCACGATTTTTGCCAAAAAAAACACTATTTGTGGGTCGAAATCATGTAAACCTCCACGTATTGTGCGTCAGTAGTGATGAATAATCACACACAACATTTGAAAGCCCTTGCAAAGAGATGGTTTAAACCTCCTTGATGAGCCTTGTGATATCATCGGAGCGCACCCAATTCCAAGGATTATCATCATTACCATTAACAATGCCATCAGTTGGGTGTCAATCCCTCATTTCTGGGCTAATCCATGTCCAATATATATATATATATACATATGGGGATGGGTCAAAACCCTATACCCCTGGTGGACATCAGAATAGCTTGTAAATGGGTGTTCATTGCCCTAAAAAAGGTATCTATAGGTATTGATCCGTAGTCATATATTCATTGGTTAAATGTCATATTAGATTCCAATTTTGGATGGCTTAAAACCTATATAATTTTCCCTCTTGCCATGTAAATCCCGCAGGGCGACAGTTTCCAACTCCAAATGGCTAAATCACGTTGAATCCGAGCATTGGATGGTCGTTTGACCTCCGTTTTGGGTCTGAAAATTCTGGGAAAACCATGTACCCGGCCTGGTTATGACTAACATAGCTATTGAAAATGGCCATTGAAATAGTGGATTTACCCATGAAAAATGGTGGATCTTTCCATAGTTACGTTAGTTTACCAGAGGGTAAATCCGTCGTTGAATCATTTCCATGCTAAACTGCCATACACGGCAGGTTGTACCCCATTTTCAACACATCCAAATCCTTTTTTCAGAGGCTAAAACGGCTAAAACGGCTAAAAAGTGATGCTTCTAGAACCCATCTTCCGGTCGCCCTGTTCGCATCTCAACCAGGGAACAGCCAGCTCTGGCAGACAATCCTGATGTCAGGGACCAATCGGAAGTAGATTGTAAGTTCCAACTACCCCAGGTCTAAGTCAAAGTGGACTGGCGCTACTTACCCCGCTTATTTAGTTTTATTTGACCAAGTCGTTAACTTCCGAATCTCAAAAACTGAGATTCGGAACGTCCCAGAATTGAAGGGAAAATTTGGCAGGAACACCCTAAAAATTTCTTCGTAAAACGATGCTTGCTGTACTGTAAATGTTCCCTTCAACCCGGTGTTTTCGCGGGGATGATCCCTGAAATCTGTACAGCATAGTACAGCGGTGCAAAAACAACCAGATCTTCATCCCTTAACCTGGCTTTTCTCTAGGACACACGGGTGATCGTCCGCCATTTACCATGCCATTTACACTGAAGAGTTGGATCGTCCGCATCCAATCCAAATGAACCCAACTTAAAATGGCTGATTTGGAAATGGCCAGTTGTCAATACAGGAGGGACCAACATGGACCAACATCATACCGAAACATCCTGTATTTTACCCTATCTATATCTATATCTATATATCTATATATATCTATATATATCTATAGTCCAGATCTGATCACAGTTGAAAAGGTGGAATTCGAAAGATCCCAGGACGACTTGACACGCACCCGAAAGGTCAAGTGTCCACAGCGAAATGCAACTTGTCCGCAGCCAGTTGCCAACGACTCACCTGCCGATGTCGCCACACCGTGCAAAAACACCGACTTACCCGGGTGAGGTACCAGGGAACCACCGTTCAAAACACGAAAAAAAACATCCTGTGGCCATCCCATTGGCACCTCCTGGCGCGCTTCCACAACTTGAAAACCTGCATCTCGGATCCACCTGGTCACGTCGGACTGGGGCTAGTTGCTGGATACCGCCAGATAAAAAGGGCGCTAGTCATCTTTTCTGAACTAAATGGCCATGGGTGAAAACCTCCAAAAAATAGCTATAGATGTTGTAGATGTTCATCCACCCAACATATATGGTCTTCTTAGTTTTGAGCCATGGCAAAACCATCCATGTTGGTCGGATCAATCTTGAGCCGTACTTACCTCTTGACGATGTTCAGATTGTCGTCGTACACCTTGCCAAAGGTATACTTCTCCTTTGCCAAAGAAACCCAGCAGTTCAAGTTGACAAAAGAGACTGGAAACGAGAGGAAAGAAATGCTAAGAAAAGTCGACTGAAGTCACACCGAAGCAAAATCATCCGTTCTTCTGCAAAAACTGAATTGGAGCCATCTCAAGCCACCGCATTCCACATTTAGCCGAGCAACTGCATATCCTCCCACAAAAAACACCACCCGGCTCCGAACCTTTCTGCCTGAGCCGCTTTCAAGGTGGCTATCCCATGATGAGAACCATAAATCCACATGTTTACCAAAACAGTACCGGTGACTGGGAAAAAACGCACAAAGGTTTACGGAATGACACCGAACTTTCACTGGAAACTCAGAAATCTTCTTTGAAACACAACGTTTTTGAAGCTTAGTGCCATATTTGGGTTGTGTGTTCAATCACCTGACAATTCTCTGGCAGTACGGGCGTGGCAATTTTCTGGTGCATCCCCAGATGGTGATCCATGGTGATCCCTGTTCCGAGCCTTTGGGGCTATCAGCTTCCGTCCCGGTGACCGGTCTCCAAGGCACTCAACAGGCGGAAGACATCCTTCCACAGGTCACGCTGGATCTTCACCTCAGGGGATGACGTGACTGTGAGGCAAGGCTGAATTTTACTGGGGATGATGGGAAGATAACAATGGAACTGTACTGCGAAAAACTGTTCCGATGAAAAATTCACACACTTTGTCACTTTCTGGGTCCGCGAATTTTTGCCCAAAGCATTTTGTGGCCATCATTGGCTCCAAAAGCCAAGCAGCCTCTTCATCATTTCGAATCCGAAATCAAGCCGGGAAGCCGGGAAGCCTCTCTAATTTCACACGAACACAACACAAACACAGACGTTTTGCAACATACCCCAATCCACTGGTGCTGCTTTGTTTTACTGGTTCAAGCTTCGAAGCAGCCCAATGAAACAATAACTAATACGGTTGGCTCTTTATCCACCGTAAGATTAACACGGTGTTGACTCCGGTGTTGACCCAGTTGACCACTTTGCTTCCCACCTACCTTGTTAGCGACTCGAATAAAGTGGAGTCAAGATTCGTCCATGCGGCCCTTCGTATGTTCATTTCCGAAGTAACTCACACCCAAGACATCAAATTCCTTGGTCGGCCGTTGCTTACGAATTCTCCATTTACTCTGGATGTGTCTCAAAATGAGAGGTATCCCAAAATTTCCCAAAATGGTTGTTTTTTGGAAGGGCAAGCTATGGCAAATCTTTCGATATTCGCGTTCCGACAACCTCATTCATCTGACTAATTTAATGAGTCAAAGGAAAACCTATTGATAATCGGGTTCAAAAACAAACCACCGACCGGTGACCATCCCAGTTGACAAATCATGCGAAACTCTAGCAAATGGGCTCCAAAGAGAAAGTGTCGCTGCGCCTACAATTCGACCCTTCATCATGGACCACCGCATGTTTCGATTCGGTCGGGCATGTACAAAATCCATCAAAATCCGTTGCTGCTTCAGCCCGTGCAAGTCTGCTCAGTCTGCTCAGTCTCAGGCATGTACAATCAAACATATCCAGAACAAAAAAAAACACATTAGGTGGTATCCCCAACAGCTGAAGACCCCATTAGCTTACGCTGTTGGGGAAATATCCAGAACCAAAAAAAGCACATATCCACTTCGTTGTATCTCCATCACCCTGTTCACATCTTCCCGCTTTTACAGTCTCACACTAAAAGCTATGAAAATCTGGCATACCAAACACAAACAAAAAACAAGCTTAAGCTGCTAAGGTCCTGTATACATATTATATACATATATGAGTGTATTATGTATATACATATATAATATAGATATAATATAGAAATAATATAGATATAATACAGATATAATATAGATATAATATAGATATAATATGATATAATATAGATATAATATAGATATAATATAGATATAATATAGATATAATATAGATATAATATAGATATAATATAGATATAATATAGATATAATATAGATATAATATAGATATAATATAGATATAATATAGATACAATATAGATACAATATAGATATAATATAGATATAATATAGATATAATATAGATATAATATAGATATAATATAGATATAATATAGATATAATATAGATATAATATAGATATAATATATATATATACAATAGATATGTATTGTGTATATATACATATATAAGCATACATATACACCTATGCACATGTTGACCATGATGCCATGGCAACTTTTGATCCTCAAATGGCCACTGGATCAATCCTCCATCTCCAGCCATTTTATGGGCAGGTTGCTGGCCCATCTTGCAAGTAGGCTTGCAGGTCCTGCACAAAGACATTCTGAATGGATCCTGTGTTTAAACCCTCCGGCGTCCTCGAACGTGGCAACCGCTGGGCTAGCTGGGCTAGCCACGTTAATGGATCCCCCGTTGGATCCCGTAGTTGTAAATGGAAAAAACATCAAACTAAATGGGCGATTTCCACTGCCACGGTTAATTCCAGATGGTAACTCCAATGAAGCTAGCATGAATTCGCAGAAACATGCTGGTTTTTCATTTGATTCAGTCCAACTTATCAACTTTATCATACATTGGGATTGTATGGGACAAAACAAGGCAGAAACTCAGGGAGTTTAACGGTTCCACTACCAACCTGGGTGGTCCCATCCCAAGACCTTCCTGGGTAAAACACATCCTGGGTGAAATACAAAAAATGGCACATTTTGGGCCATGATGAACTGACACCACGAAAAGCAGCCACCATGCCTCCCATCTCAAGACTATTAAATTGGGGATCGTCAGCACATTTGTGGGATGGAAAACAACAACTATTTGAAACCACCGTTAAACCACTTTCACACGTGGTCTTCCCATTCTACCCGGTTTTAAGGTGCTTGAGTCCCCATAAATGTCCTGTTTCATATTCCAATTTGAAAGGACAAACTAGATTGGTTTGCTGCCTAATTATATGGCAGTGGGTCAAAACCATGTAGCAATGTAGCAACACCAAAATAGTTGGTGGATATTACCCTCTGGTAAACAGCCACATAACTATGGAAAATCACCATTTTTAATGGGAAAATCCACTATAACTGGCCATTTTCAATAGCTATGTTAGTCATAACCAGAGGGTAGTTCATCCGAGTTCATCCCATGAAACCCCGCGGTCCAGCACACCACCCCCTGGGAAGATCCGCTCGGTGAGGTTCACGAAACGGTACTTCTCACGCAAGACGCTGGAGATGTAGGACCTCGAAAAACGTTTTTTGATAACGATGGGGATTTAATGGTGATTTAAGGGGACTTAATGGTGATCTAAAGGGATTTAATGGGGTTTAATGGGATATTTTGGATATATAATAGATGTACCCTCTGCTTATCTAACATAGCCATGGTATAGATGGCCCATAGAAATAGATAGTTTACCGAACTTAAAAATGGCGATTTTCCATGGCTATGTTAAATAACCAGAGTGTAACCAACAAAATATCCAGTGAATATGTGTTTGTATGCCACCAAAATGAGGGCGTATAGTCTGGGATTCAAAATGGGATAGAAAGAGATTCAATGAGATACAAAGGGATATAACGGGATATAAGGGCATATATATAATATATATAATGGACATAAAGGGATATGACGGGATCGTGGGGTGCGTTGTTGAAGTGGAAAATATAGTTTGTCACGGTACCAACATTGTGATGTCATCAAAAAAATGAAATTTTCAAAAGGATTTTGGATCATTTTCCAAATGAATAAATTCCAAGCGACTGTTGTGAGGATAGATCACGTTACTTACGTTACTTATGAAATGCCATATTTTGGGGATGAACATTCATGACCAGTGAAAATCGGTGTGAAAACCACGGACTTGACCTGCAACTATAAGCATCTAGTCTAAAAATGCCAATTTTCACTCATTTTCTCTTTGCAACTATACCTTGTTTGATGTGGAGACGCCCACTCAAGAAATCACGTACAAATAGCAAGTCATAGGGAATCATGGATATGGTTCACAACATCAACAGGGGTCGAAAACAACAAAATACATGTCCAGTATACTGGGCAAAAAAATGCATCCCTTCAATGGCAACAACAAATCACGAGATCATTACATCTTAAGTGCCATTGTAGAAACATGGTATCGTGGTATGGTCATCCATTCCACATTGAGAATCTTTATATTTTGGTATGTAAATTCCTATTGATGGATTCAACCCGGAATATGGGCAGACGATCAGAACAGAATTTGCGACCTTGGACCCAATCCGCCGTACTTTATGCGCTGGCCCCTTCAACATTCATTGTTTCAAACGCATATTCAAATGATTGTTTTTTTCCCTAAAAATCATCCATTTCATGTTGTGTGTTGCTATATCTGCAAAATCAATTTCACAAACAAATATCACCCATTGACCAATGGACCGAAAATTGTGCCAACCAACCCTTCAATCCAAGAGGCTTCTTCTTGTTGTTGTTCCGTTTCGTGTATAAAGAACTGTCCCCAATCAAGCCGTATCTGGTTCCGCAATCCATGTTGCCCAAAAAACGCGACTTTTTAAGATGTTGTTCGTGTGTGAGAGCCTCTGACATTTGCACCAGACAAATATCATGTCGCGGGGTTTTGGCCAATTGCTTGATTTCGATTGAAATCCAGTACAAATTCCAATGGATATGAGATAGTGGGTCAATATAGTTGTATATCCTGGTCCTGCTGGAAAACAAAAGAGGATGCATAATTCGGGTATGGATTACTTCTACCGACACCCAAAGAGGGTGATTTCATGCGAAAAAAACACAGGCATTGGCACCCAAACTTTGAACTATACCCATTTCGCATGCATGATTGACCAAAAACAGTTGCCGTTCCCTGTCTGCCAACGCAATGAGCCAAGAAAATGTTGCACGCATCGACATTTGTTCACATCGGCCTTTGAGCATTTCCACTTCACAAGAGTCACCACCTTCAAAACCCATAGTAAAAAGTGCCGTTTTTCAACACCCGACGATGAATTCTTATCATATCTATAGTCATGTTGGATTTGCGTCTATCAACCGCGCATCTATTTGGGTTTGGTTTTCAAACATTTTAGCATGCAATTGGAATGTTACATAGTTGTTTCAATCAACCGCGCATCTATTTTGGTTTGGATTGCGAGCCTTTTTGCAGATGCCAAAAACATGCAATTGTGATCCGCATTTTGCCGCACAACGCGATATTTTTTTTCGACATTTAAATCTGGAGTCTGTGTGTGCGTGTGACGCTCGGAATCTTGTGCTTTGTGGTGGTTGTTTAAGCGATTTTCAGTGCTTTATGTGTGTTGAGACCGCTGAAGTGAATGGACAATTGAAGATGCAGAGTGCAAACATTTTTTTAAAGATGACATAGGAGTCGACAAGGATCCGATTGAGTGTCCACAGTTGCGAAGGGTGGCAAGAGGGTGGGGCGAAGTGTGAACACTCAAAGGGAAAGACATCTGACACGAGTTGCACATGATTCACATTGAAAACATTTGAATTGAACATGAAGGACATCACATGATTGTCTGAAGCGTTCCGGAGGTTAAGCCGACTCATCCAATTTTCTCTGCCCCAGATAAATCGCTATCATGACTGATTTCTTCAGTATCTGCGCTGAGGACCCTGAAGTGAATGGACAACTGAAAATGCAGAGTGCAAGCAACTCTCTTTTCAAAGATGGGACTGCGTCGATGCCTGGTTTCCTCCCCATTTTTCATTCAAGTAATTCCCGAGAGGGTCTGAGCGAAGTGTTCTTCTAATAGTGGGGGTCTGTCAAACATTTTCATCTTTACATTTTCTAATTTTAACATCTGCTCATCTTTACATCTGCTCATCTTCGCATCTTCTCATCTTCACATCCTCACCTCTTCACATTTTTTCATCCTCACATCCTCACATCCTCACATCTTCACATCTTCTCATCTCTACATCTGTTCATCTTCACGTCTTCTCATCTTCACATCCTCACATCTTCACATTTTCTCATCTTCACATCCGCACATCTTCACATCTTCTCATCCTCACATCCTCACATCGTCACATCTTATCATCCTCATATCCTCACATCTTCACATCCTCACATCTTCTCATCTTCACATCTGCTCATGTTCACATCTTCTCATCTTCACATCTGCTCATCTTCACATCCTCACATCTTGACATCTTCACATCACATCTTCACTCACATCTTCACATCTTCACATCTTCACATTCTCTCTTGCCCTCTTGCTCTCTTGCCCTCTTGCTCCCTCCTTCTTTTCTATTTTTCTCTTGAAGGCGCGGGGCAGTGCCAACGAGACGGCATGAAACGCAACCCTTTCGCACGAAACCCAAAACTGAGGTAAAATTGCGATTTTACAATCTCGGCGGCAACCCTTTCGCACGAAATGAGATTCGATCGCCAAACACTGGGGTAAAATTGATGTTTGGAGTGTGCCGCGGCAACCTTTCCGCACGAAATGAGGTTCGAGCGCCAAAAACTGGGGTAAAAAAACATCTGTGTGTCACCGTGTCTGTGTGTAAAAGTTTCTGTGTGTAAACGTGTTTGTGTGTAAAAGCGTCTGTGTGCAAAAGCGTCTGTGTGTAAAAGCATCTGTGTGTGAAAGCGTCTTTGTGTAAACGCTTCTGTGTGTAAAAACGTCTGTGTGTAAAAGCGTCTGTGTGTAAAAGCGTCTGTGTGTAAAAGTTTCTGTGTGTAAACGCGTCTGTGTGTAAAAGCGTCCGCCTGTAAAAGTTTTTGTGCGCAAAAGTTTCCGTGTGTAAAAGTTTCTGTGTGTAAAAGCGTCTGTGTGTAAACGCGTCTGTGCGCAAAAGCCTCTGTGTGTGAAATTTTCTACGTGTAAAAGGGTCTGTATGTAAAAGTTTGTGCGTGCAAAAGCGTCTGTGTGTAAAAGCGTCTGTGTGTAAAAGAGTCCGTGTGTAAAAGTTTATGTGCGTAAAAGTGTCTATGTGTTCAAGTTTCCGTGTGTAAATGTGTTTGTGTGTAAAGCTTCCGTGGGTAAAAGCGCCTGTGTGTAAAAGCTTCTGTGTGTACAAGTTGTTTGGTGTAAAAACTTCTGTGTAAACGCGTCTTTGTGTAAACGCATCTGTGTGTAAAGGGTCTGTGTGTAAAAGTCTCTGTGTGCAAAAGCGTCTGTCTGTAAAAAGTTATGTGTGAAAACTATGTTCTTGTGTTTGTGATATATTGTCTTGATACTACTCTTCTTGTTTGCTTATAATACATCTTTGATATATTGTTGTGTCATATAGTATCTCCGTACTAACAACAGAAGACTCTGCTACTCTACGCTCTCGGGCCATCCGCCGTCTAGTTGACGCTGTCCCAACATGAGTCAACATTCAAACATGTTTCCTCTGCAACAACCTAACCTGTCTCATATATTCTGTTGAAAGTCTCGACGGTCCATCAGCAGTGTTCGAATCTGTTGGGATTCGAGCGTACCAAGGAGTTACTTTTTTGTCACATTCAAGGGATAAGGTCGCAACAAGTATCTGCTTCACCACAGTATTTCCAATGCTGCAACAGATGGGTGCATCATGTTGTCTGCGTAAATGACCACTGAGTCGCCGACCAAATTGCCCCAGCAAAAGAACTAGCAAAACAAACCAAAAAATTCACATTTATAAACAGCAGTCTTTCTGGTTTCAGGGTTCAGCTTTGCAATCATCTCCATCGTCAGTTTTTGTGAGAAATACTTGACGGGCTTTCCGCTTGGGTTGAAAAGCACCGCACCAATTCCTGCAAAGACACCATCGCTCACTGGATCGTAACAAGCGTCCGTCTACATGAACCGAACTTCAGTACATTTTGGTTTTAATTCACATGGGCGCCCAAATTCAAGCAGCATCTTGTGTAAGGTCAGAGCCATGGCCGATTGATCATCCAAAGTGCAGATTGTTGTTGTTGAGTATGCCAAAGATGTCCCCACAACCAAGGGGTTCTTGCCTAGTCTGCCAAAAACATGTCCAGAAACGAATTTGATTTTTTCTCTGATCCAAAAGCGTCTCAGAATGTATACTTCTCGATTTGTGCGTTTTGCACCTGAGTTGGCAACTGCATGACTCTGACATGTCAGGTTGGTATGAAACATGTATGCAGCAAGGGCAAATATATTTCACCCCGCCTTTGTGCCATCATTTGATGTGCATGGTGTCGATTGGCCGTTGCCGCTGGGGACTTCATTGAGTTGCCACTACTTGCATAACCCTTTAAGGGTTGGCCTCTCGATTCACCTTTGAAACACTCTAAGTTCCTCAGGGTACATGTTCCATCTGGGCTTACTCAGATCCAAGTTACCTTGAGACTCACCCGGCACAGCTCTTCCAGGGCTGTGCTGGCCATGGAAAAACAAAGCTTCAAGTGCATTGGAGGCATCAGTCTTCCATTGCGTTTTCTTCTTCTGAGTTTTCTCTGTATTGAAGGACTGCCCATAGATCTGGGTCGAAGACTTCTGATTGCGTGGATTGCATATACCTGCGTTCCACCTGAGATCCAATTTCCTCCTCTGAGCTTGAATCTGGCGGGTACTGCTGTCCACGTCCAAGCGCTCGCGCAACCATATCAAAATTGGTATTCAGTCCTCCACTGGATGCTGATGATGCTCCATGTTGCAACGCACGTACAAGGCTGTAAGCTCTTTGAGCCTGTGCCAGAGTGGTTGAAGTATTGATGCTTCTGTAATTTGGTGAATCCTCATCATCTGATATGTCACTCATATTTCCAAGTGTTCTCAGAGTGGCAACACGTAGAGATTCCACAGGGGAATGCAAAGCTGATTGCAAACAACGCAGAATGGCTACACGCTCTTCGTAGTGTCTGCACCTGGCATGATCAATTCTACTGTCACGGCGCCGGCTGCAGCGTGCAATCATCCAAGCAACATAGGTGTCAGCTGTTGGTTCATTGGTGGCTGTATCAGCCCTTGTTGTTGCATCAGCACCTGCAGTGTCATGTGCGGCTATAGCAACCATTGTACTGTGTCAGCACCTGGATTGTCATTCATGACAACTGCTTCATCATGTGGCTCTTCTTGTGCAGCTGGAGCGTGAGGCATGTTTGCAAACCAACGCAAGAAAACAAGACATGCAAATCCAAAGATCAACGTAAAAATCACGAGCATCTGTGAAGGATTTGAAGTGGCATTCTCATCGCAACCTTTCAGTGAAATCAAAGAGGTCAGGCCCAAGACGCTCAAGATCTGCAAAACGTGATGTTCTTCTGGAAAATGCCACCGGGATCTTCTGATCCTTCTAATGATGCTGCAGTTGTATTGAACATTCCAAGCAAAGCCCTGAGAGATTTGAGTCGGCCACTGGGGAGTCTTTTGGTCCCGATATCTGCCGGGTTCAGGGATCCTGCAATTGCTGCCAAACGCATGTAACCTCCATTGATGTGGTCCTGAAGCCATAAGATTCTGCATGAAAGATGTCTGACTCTTCCAACTCCCTGACACAACAAGATTCCACGTGCAGCTGAGCTGTCTATATGCAGCACTGTCACAACTCTGAGACCTGTCATCCAAGCAATCAGGCGG